AGGTAGGAAGCAATCGTGGGATTTCCCGACCACCAAATAGTCACTGACACGAATCCACCGGTAATCCCGCAGGGGTGGAGGAGGGTGCCTTAATGTTAATTCCGGCGCTGCCAACCCAGATCCAAAGCCGATGGCCGGAGAAGCAAGCAGTATTGTGGCTGCCCATCGCCGTAATCTCGGGTGAAGATGGGGTGGTGACTCGTAGCTGGACCGAGGCATTGTAAAAATAAACTGCCGATGTCCGGTACGATGAATGTTGAAGACGCGTAATTGGCAGGGCGGTATGCGTGCGAACCTGGAGCCCTGGAGAGGCTTGCCGGTATCGACAATCCACGGGTTGTCATTCCAGTGGGATCAGTCCCAAAAAATCTCTATAACCCTCTCTCTTAAATCGTCGGCTTCGGCGGTAGCCGGAAAGTCCTCGCGGTATCGCAGTACCCACTGTCGACCGACCCACCAACTGGTTCCCTCTCCGACCAGCCTGGCGTGATGAGTCTCCACCCGAGAGCGGAGCGCTGATACCTGATCTGGTGTTGGCGCTAGGAAGCCTTCGAGATTGTGCACCACGTGATCTCGCGTATGCCGTCGTCGCAGCGGCCGACCGATCCCAAAGTCTCGGTGAAGCGCCGGTACTGATGCTGATACAGAGCTAGCAGCAAGTATGATAATACTTCTCCAAGCTGCGGACCATGTATCTGGAGCGTTCATTAGCCATCTGAGCGCATGTTTCGTTCGCTACGTCTTTATGGCCACTTGAAAAGAAGCAAGGCCAACATCTCCTGCCTGCGCCGGCGCAACCGAGGAGGCCAGGAACAATCTTGTGCCGTTTGACCTCTACCTCCGAGGCATGCTGCCATAGAAATTGCCTGTAAAGCTTGTCCAACTCCGCGCTTGCCCACGCCGGAATATCGAAAACAGCCGCCGTGAATAGGATGTTGGTAGGATGATAGTATTCAGAATTTCCACCCGATTTTGCACACTTGTCGCCACCAAAGTAAGCTGTGAGCAGCCGACGCCGCGAGCGGCGAATGCGCTGTGCCCAATTATGATTGATCATCTCGCTAGTTCCAATTTCGTAACCCAGGTACCTGGTCGTCTCTGCCGGGAGGCAACACCGAAATACCCCGGCACTGCATAAGCCGCACTGCTGTGTTGAAGTAAATCAATATACTCTTTGTCGGTTGCGCGCGGAGGCCCGAAAGGTCTCCAAATCGGTGGACTAAGCGCAATGCTGACTCCGAGTTGATCCGCCCGCTCGAGAAATAGAGCAGAATAGTCGACGAAAGCTGAAAATATATGCCTAACTCCCGTAGCTCCGGGGACTGGCAGCCTTCTGAGACCCCGGTCTTGGCGAATTACCAAGCCCAGTAATATCTACCACCAGGAGAAAGAGCAATGGTGCCTAAGGGCAAACCTTGGCGAATTCTGGATCTGACCGCAATGGGGTCCAAATGTTCGCCATTCACGGAGAACCGAGCCGTAGTTCCGGTGTGCATGCGCTGGATGAGATGGATAAACTGGTCTTCGAAAGTGAAAGGCGCGCAGCGCTGCGTAAAGAAATTCCCTGTCCACTGTGTCGTAGGCCTTGCAGTAAATCCAGCAGCAAGATGACTCGACTAGCGCTGGCTGGTAGTTCCACCTCATCACTAGCCGAAGCTAGCTGGGAAAACATCATGGTCACTAGCTTGCGCATTTGCCTACCCCGTACAAATCCCTGCTGCGAGTCTCCCACGAACCGTGGCATAACTGTCCGCAAGCAGGTAGCCAAAACCTTTGCAAAGATTTCGTAACTAGTCTGAAGCAAAGAGATTGGGAGATATTCGAGATCATCCGCCGAATCTCCCTTCTTCCGCAGCGGAATCACCAGCGCTTCCAAAAACGAAGGCGGCGTTGGTGCACCAGACAAAATCTCGTTGCTCACCGTCAGTAGGGCGGTCACCATAATGGCCGAGGTGTCCTTAAAAATTCATTGTTTAGACCATCAGGACCGGCTATCTTATGTCGGCGAGCTCCGAAACGGCCTGGAGTACCTCTGCCTCCGTGATTTCGGCTACCAGGGCTTCATTTGCTGATGAGGATAGCCTCCGCTCGGCCGGGACAGTGACATGTACTTAATCGCGGCTTGTAGAGATGGCAGAGGCTCCGTGCGATGTATACTTCCAAAAAGTGGCGACCATTTGGAATTTTTTTTGTCAGCAACAGTCCTATGCCGAGTAAATTCAGGGCCGTGCAAATTGACAATCCTTGACGCTGTTTGGTCTCGTTCCCAGTCCAAAATCCTCTTATAGGACCACCGGAGTCTAGCAGTTGTCCTTTCAAGCCGCTGCCCAATCCGTCTGGAGTGCTCCAGACAGAGCTCTTCCATGTTAGCAGTAATCCTTTGATGTCTTGTTAGAAATTGACACCGTGCCCGCTGCAAAAGTTTTGTTTTATACCGATACCGCCTCTGGCGTGCCTGTTTGCGCACCCGTGCGATGCATAGCTTGTACGACGCGACCATCGAGTCCCAGTCTCGAACTGAACTCACCCGGCCCACCCCTAGCTCAGTCAGTCCATCTAAAAGTTCCTCTAAGACTCAAGCTGGCTGGGACACCTGAATGGGGTATATGCCACCTGCCGCCCCTTCGGAGAACGAAAAGGCTGGCAGCGTCCACAAAGATGGAGCTCCACTTCTTGATGATCCGACAAGTACAGTGGAGTGCGTATTCTCACCCATAGAACCTGAGCAACCCAGCTATGGGGAACGTAAAAACGATCTATCGGCTTGCTCTACTACCCTCCCAATACGTAAAATGGTCGACGGTGTCGTCGGCCTCCTTGTCCTCCGCGTGGTCGCGCAACAACCGGGCATCGACCCACTCACGTTGATCCAGAAATGCTTCTAGCGCCGGACTTTCAGGCATACATGACCGATGTGGGCCAAGCCGGTCCAGCAAAGAAATTTTGACGCAATTAAAGTCCCCGAGTATTATGGAACTATCTTGCGGTAAAATTCCACCGGGGTTGACGTGATAAGAAATCCTCTCGTTCGGATCAGAGTCGGGGCGTAAACATTGAGAATGACGATTCCGCCTATCAAAATCGCGATTTCCCGTGAATCCCAGAGGTCTAGCTCCCATACCAACGCATCATGGGCTGACTTGGGAATCAGTAAAATACCCACCCCACCATCTTGCGAAGACCCGTGCTCCAGTATGATAACGGTGGGTGGCTGGGATCTGTTGTTTCCTCCATAGCTACGCCCACTGTAGACTGTGCGCCTTGGCTTCGTCCTCGCCCGAAACATGGGTTTCTTGAACACACCACGCCAATGGTCGCTCTCGTAGGCGTCGGCCGCGCCAAGCCTTCATCCACTGTGTTCGTCCCTGTTTTGTAAATCCCCTCACGTTTTGAGTGATAAGTTCAACGCTCCCGAGACCCGTACTGCTGCACGTGACGTACTCTCCATAACGAGACCACTCCGATAGCAATGCAGATCTACCGAATGCATCCGCCTCCGTCCGATCCTGCCCCTCGCAAATGACCCGCTAAGTGAAGCTAAGGGCTGCCCTTAGTACATCGGAGACCCCTGCTCCTCGGATGGTGAGATCGAGGAAGCAAAGAAACGTTCAATGGGGTTCCAGTCAAATTGCTGACCCTCGCTGGGATAAAACCCGACTTGTAAACGGAGTTGACCCGTAATAGCTGTAAGTGCCGAAGAATCTTCCCTGATGGAGACGAGCCATCACTATGAACATCCGTGAGAGCCTCTACCTCTTGGTCAAATATAAAGGAGTAGAGAAAATGATGACTGAACCTCACTTTGTTCCGTGGATCGCAAAGTTTGATGATGCCGTCTCCCGCATGTTTTAGATCACGCATGCGTCGCCAGTCATCTCCGTTATCGAAGAGAGGAGGCAATGAAGTCAAGGCCCCCCGATGCGCTGTGCTCGTTACCCATTGGTCCAGCTATGTTCTATCGGCAATCGACTGCACCCTACTGCGAAATGAAACCAGCCCCGCCATAAGGCATTCCTTCCGCCAACCTGCTGTCCAATGGATCAATACGTGATCGTCCAGAATATTAAGTAGTAACCCAGGGAAGGCAAACTGTCGCACGAGATGAAGAACGATGTGAGGATCGCGTTGCGCTGTGGAAATCCACTCCTGCGTCGAGCCGTAAGCAGACGGAAACGGAGTCGTCGCCGCCGCCAAACAGCTGGACTGTAGTAATTGCCATACCGAAGGCCAGTCGTCTCTATCTATTCGATCGTCCAAATCTGACCAGTGCATCTTCGAGCAACCTTCCTCTGTGCTTCCTGCATTCGGAACAGATGGAGATGGGCGCTTGTGGACCATATCACACGTCGATACCGCTTCAGTCAAATTTGTCTCAAGGCCACGCTTACGAGGCTGATGCCTTCCATGCTCTTAGTCCTTCGTCCGCTGGGTGGTGATACAGAACCAATTTTAAATTGGTAGTTCGGCGAGGAATAGTAGTTCCGATGGAGTCGGCGGCAACTGATAAAGGATCCTCCTGGACGTCCGTCATCGTGGAGATCGGGTTATCACTGCCAATCTCCGGCTGATCTGCTCCGGGTGAGTATAGTGAGCATACAAGAGCTTGCGAGGAAGCCACCGCCAGATCTGGGAGATCCCCCCTGGGGCTGAGTGCAGCAACGCTGAATAGTGGCTACCGTAGTATCGGAGCAGCAGTCGCCCCTCCGTCGCAACTTTAGCTCCCTGCAACTCGTCGATAAATTCCATCATCGCTAACGGCACCTCACGAACCGTTTCCACCGCCATATTGTTCTTTGGCGTTACGGTTGCGCAGTAGTTTCGGCAGCTATGGTTCCCCCTTTCCTCATCTCCCACGTGGTTTACATAGATGTCCTGATGAAGAATTGTAGCCGCCATCCCAAGCGTATCGTTCCCCCTAGACCGTTTTATCAATAGTAGAAGTATGGTCCGATGGAGAAGAGGCATAGTCATGCAAGAACCCAGCGAAACTGGTTCGCCGATTATTCAGGCTTCATTGTTGTCCAACCTCTTCCAACGTTGCGGAGAGCCTGGACGCGCACATCATGGGCATAAGTGTGGTCTAACTTTAGAAGACAGGCAAACCGAATGTCTCGTTTTGCACTGGCCATGAGCCGTTCAAATGCGTCACTCTCGCCATACATGTCGGCATCAGCGTAAGCCTGTGCTACTGCCATCGCCATACAATTCCCAGTCGCCGGAGTTACCACCTCCCGCAATCCCAGAAGAAGGAACAGACTAAGCATATCGCTCAATACCTGCTGAGGACGTTGTTCCATTGAAAGCGCGCGCTTGGGGCCGTCCTTCAGGCTACCTAGTATACGTTCAGACGTGGTACGTTCCTGACTCTTCATCGTTAACAGAACCGGACCAGACAATGTAGGCGCCTTTCCACGGGTTAAGCCTGTCTCTTTTCAGAAACCGCTGCCTGAGTTTGACTATCAGGGGCTGGGCGTGGGCGGGCAGCCTCTGTGTTGGAAGTTTTCGCAGAAGTGGACGATCCTGGCGAGTGATCTTCTGTAGTAGAAGGCACTACGGCTTGCTCCAACACCGAATATCGTCCGGAAGAAACCTTCGTTTGCGACGGCGCCATCGGTGCCTGAGCCCACGGATTCTTTGACCCGCGCAGAGGTTGCGTAATCCAGGATAATTCGTCAACCTTTGAAGGAGCCGGCCCTGAACCTGACGCAGCCCGACTTACAGGTGTATAAACCGAACTGGCCTGATCTGAGTCCCTGCTTAACGACTTCGCTGGGCCTGGGGCCTGAGCGGAAGGGATCACCGAGGGCGTCACGGCTGCACTGGCAGCTGCCTCCTCAGATTTCTAGACCTTCAATCTGTCTGCTGCCATGCGCCGCATCTCGGCCACGCTACTAATGGTTTCGCCGAATCCGCGATTGTACAGAGGTCGCTCTCTTGGTCCTCGATTCCCCCGGGCCCTTTAAGTTGGATATCTGTGCATCCGCACCTGACCGCTGTGTGGCCGAGTTCTCCACACTAGAGACATTGGAGACGGCGCCCGACATCCGGATGCTAGAGTATTTTGGGTGTTTCGAACCAAAGGATTCTCACTATCCCTTGAAGGAACGTGGGACAGCCGGATATTTGGATATTTACTCTTCAAGATGTCGACGTACGCGACATGGGGAAATACGTATCGAGGTCCTCAAACTCGAAAGCCGTCGGGATCTTGGACTTAAAATATGCTGCCACTCGTCCAATCTCTTTGAATCGGATGAGATTATGAAGAACAATAGTGTACTGCGCGCGCTGGTGACATGTCTGTCCTGTTGGATTTTGCTGGCGTCCCCAAACGGACCCTCTTTCCGGGCGGTGGGCGTTCGACAAGGTGTATACTATGCCGCGATACGGGATGCGCACATGCTTGAGACGTTCAGCTGTCTCCCGGGAGAAGAAGAAGAAGTGTAGCGATTTAGTTGCACGGTCATATTAATAGTCTTTGTCAGACTAAAAAATTGATGGAGCTCCGGCAGGCTGACTTGCGCCAGTTCCGCTGATTCGAGTACGGTCTCCGTGATGGACCGTGTCATCTGCCTGATTATCGGTATCCCCCCGATCGGGACCCAGTGATAACGCTAGGTAACCTTCCACTTGAGCCTGTACCGTGCTATAGAGTCGCAAGCGCTCCTGACTGTCCAGAACCGCCTTGAAAAAAACTGGGGTGCGCCGGCACACGATGCGGCCTTCAACGAACCCCGTAATTATTCGCCACTCATCAGTAGTTCCTTCCCGCAGAGACACTATGTGTCCGATGAAGGAACGATCCTCACAAATGGCTTTGAGGCTCTCAGCCTCCTCATGTGTGAATTTGAGAGAATCGAACATAAAGTCCTCGTACTTCGGGCTGTAATGGGAAGCCTTACTACCCGCCGGGGTAGGTGTCCCCTGCCGCTCAACTTTCACCTACTGGTTCAACACTGGAGCCTTCGCCCAATTGTGTTGGCTAGCCAATCGTCGAACAATATCAGTGAAATACCATTTCGTTGAGACAAGATCTTTCCAAAAGAGAAGGATAGTTTTTTTTCAGTCGTGGTAGGTACCAGTAGGCGCGACAAACACTCATATAAGTAGCCGTAAAAGACTCGACGCCTCGGAGGCTCGAAAGCGTGGATACCGCGCTTTAGAGGCTGGAAGCTCAGCCGTTTTGATCGGGAGCATCTCAAATTCCACGGCGAACAGCTCCATTTTGGTCAACAGCCACGCATTAGTGTGGCTCGTACCTGGGTGACTTTTCATCTCCGTTACCAAAGCATGGAACATGGATGCTGCCGAGGGGTCCACCATAGAGGACGGAGGGGGTCCTGCCGCTGACTGGTCTCCTCCTGGTGCACCGGCGGCTGAGGCCCTGCCGCTGACTGATCCCCGTCTGGTGCATCGGCGGCCTCTGCCGCGGTTCCTCCCTCGTTAGTGTCACCTCGAGCATCTCCGCCTCCAGTACCTAGAGCTGAAGTGTCGCAGGCCGGCTGCGTGGCCGACGCGACTACTTCCTGGGGAGCCGTGGGTTGGCCGCCCGGTACCGCCTCCGCAGCCCCCCCTGGCTGAGAAGCGGCGGAGATGGCGTTATGTCTAAGATACGCCATCATGTCGTCTTGTGACAGGGATTCTTGGCGCCTGGGAGACCCTGAAGGCCTCCCATCACCCCCCCCCCGAGGGGGGAAGGTTTAAAGGATCCGTGCTAGTCGTCGTGCGACTGAGGACTTAGCTGTCGCCATCTCTTAGTTTTATTACCTCTAAAATTGATGGGTTAACCTTCCCAGTTCAAATTAGAGAGTGAGAGACTGTGAATGTACCTGCACACATATTACTAAGGCATTAGCTGCACCAGGATTACACGAATCACGCCAAGTGATCGGTTAAAAATAGTTAAAGTAGACAGTGACAAAGGAAGAATCATGTGTTTTTCATTGGAGAATGCGTTGACGAAGAGGAGTGTCAAACGGTAAGTTTCAAAATGATGTATCGAGAAATATGGTACGGGATTTAATCTGGGGGTCATGTTTGTGCCGAGCAACGGATGAAGTTTCATGTCATAACTTTTCCGACTACGAAGATTTGCTAGCTAGCAGAAGACAATCGAGCAAAAAACGCTTTCTCTTTGCATCAGATTGTGTGCCTCTTGGTTGGTACGTTACGTTTTATTTTCTCATGCTTTTCGTACGTGGAACACTCTCTAGTACTGAGAAGCACACTAAAATAACTTACATTTTATCAAAGGGTAACCTCCAGGGCTAGTTCCCCTTTATTAGGCTAATCAACGACGGGTACTTTTTGAGTACCCTTATAATGGGTGTGACGATGGTCAACAGAGTATAAGGATAGTCATTCCCAAGTTCGTTTTGTTGTAATTTAGTTTATTTATCTTCTCCTCTGTTATAATTTATTTTATTCTAAATTTTCCTCATTCATATTTATAAATTAAAAAACAAATTATCATAATAAATGCAAATCAATCAGCTGTGGGAAATGTATGCTAACTCAAAAAAAAATTGACGAATTATTGTAATCACACAAGCTCATTTACAGATCCTTTTAAGCCAATATTTACATGAGTCTACCCGAACCTCGTTCACCTTACGCAAATTTCTACCTCACCACTTGCTCCAATCCTCACATTTGACGACCTAACTCGCTCCAATCCTCATATTTTTCACCTAATCCTGTCCCAATCCTCATATGTATTCACCCATTCCGCTCCTATCCTCATATTTACTTCCCTATCCTCTTCCTCACCACATATTCCCCTTATCCAAGCAATCGAAGGTGATCCCATACCAACCTCGACCAAATATCAAGATATCCACCCTCCTGCCGTCCATGATTTTATCCATCCACCGATTCCGTCCCCACCTCCTCTCCACCAACTTCACCTCCTTTATAAGTTCAGTCTCAACATCAGGTCAAGCTCAAAAGCCATCGGTCACTTATAACACCCTCGTAACTCAAGGACGTCTCGTATTCGATGCCCATCAAGCCGCAATTGTCCGTCGAGTTCTCGATAAATTATATACTCAACTCAACAACTACAGGTTACCCGTTTTCCAGTCCCCCCTATTCGACAAACAAGCTGGAAAACAACAACAACAACAGGAAGAGGAGGTGAAATTGAAGTCGGTGGTGAAAGTCCCTCGAGGGTTATACGTCCACGGAGGCGTTGGAACTGGAAAATCGCTGCTGTTGGATCTATTTTTTCATTCTGCCAAGGTCGAGTACAAGCGACGAGTACATTTCAATGACTTTATGCTGGATCTACATACTCGACTGGCTCGAGAGAAGACAAAAGAGCTGCTGAGACAGGATGGGAGACAGAATCACGTTCGTGTCAAGAAACGTCGAGATGTTGTGGTCCAAGTGGCTCATGAAATGGCAGATGAGAGTCATTTGCTCTGTTTTGATGAATTCCAAGTCACGGATGTCGCCGATGCACTCATTATGAGGAAAGTCTTTGGCGTGCTCTTTGCACGGGGAGTTGTTATGGTTGCCACGTCCAACACGCCGCCACAGGTAGACATAGAAAGACAAGGTGGTTGGAACTCGATCGATTGCGAAGCTAAGAATGTATGTGTGCGTACGTGTTGTTTGATATCGATAGGATCTCTACAAAGATGGCACGAATCGCGAGTACTTTTTGCCGTTCTTGGATCAACTGGCAAGGCATACGAAAGTGCTGTCAATGAACTCGGACGTGGACTACCGGCTTCTCTGCGAGCCTTTGGATCGCGACAGAACGTTTTTGACGCCACTGTCCACCGAGACACGACACAGGATGGATCAACTGTACCAAGAGCTATTAGCATGTGGTGCTGAAGACTCGAATGACAATGCCCGGGACGAACTGCTACATGTGCCAGTGATGATGGGGCGCACGCTGGACATTCGAGGCAGTTTGAAGCGTGGTGTGTGTCGTGCATCCTTCAGTTACTTGTGCGGAACGGAAAAGGGTGCAGCAGATTACAAGGCCATGGCGGAATGCTTCCACACTGTAATGCTGGACGATGTACCGGTGTTGAGCATGGCCCAGCACGACCAAGCGCGGCGATTTATCGTGCTCGTTGACGAATTGTACGAGCACCAATCGCGGCTCGTGCTATCATCTGAAGCTGCTGAACCTCGTGAGATCTTCTCGTTTGACGAATCACGCGTCCAAGTAGCATCCGAAAGCGAAAATAGCCGCTTAAATGCCATTGCAAAGGACAAGCAGGATCGGATCACGGAGAAGGCATCTACAAGTGTCCCAACCAGTTCGTGCGATGCCCCTGGAGGTGCTACTTCTGGTTTGTTCGGGGCAACGAACCTCGTTGCACTCAAAGACCTCAAGACTGCCTTCAAACGCGCCGTATCGCGATTACATGAAATGCAAAGCACGCGATACGTGGAAGAAAACCAGCACAAGCGTCACGAACGAGCCAAGCCGAGCGACGCCAGCCAATCGATTGATGAATCCTGAAGCAAATAACAACGACCTTCTGGCTTATTCCACTACCGAATCAAGGAACCAGTTTTCAGTTTCGTGCCAACCCAACAACTGGTCCTCGTCATCATCCCTCCTCCTTCCTCGAAATCCCCATACAAGCCATCCTGGAATCCAGCATCCCTAATTACCTCATGGCACCATCTCCCCCTCCTTCTCCTCCCCCTCTTCAGGACGAAGCGGCTTCCGCACTAGAAATGGGTAACCCATCACCCATGATAACCACCCCTCCATGCCCTTCGCTTCCTCCTCCTTCGTCCCGTCGTCGACAGCAGGAACGTGAAGTCATCCTGGCTTTTGACGCCCAATCACTAAGGAGACACGAAGCGTGGTTCCTCATTGAAACCGCGTGGTTTGCTGCATGGACAACGTACGCCTTTGACTCGACAGCTACAGCCGAGCGACCCGGGGCGATCGAAAACACGTCGCTCTTTAACCGGGATGACCACCGGGTCCAGCCGAACCTTCAACCGACAATTGACTATCGAGGGGTGACACCTCAAGTCTATGCGCTCTTTGCTGAATTGTACGGCACTAATAACGTCCCTCCCATTGTCAGGTATACACTTGATCTATACGCACCCCCCGTGATGATTGACGACGTCGTTGCTATGCTCCATGTCCCAAAAGTCCGTGCTCGAGCAGTCGTGACAGCTGAAGTGACGGCTGAGTGGCCGGAATCGGGTGAGACCCCTCTGCTCGAAAAGCTGAGGAGAGATCGAAGTTTGGACGACGAAACGTGGACGTATCGATGCTGTTGTCGCTGCACGTATCTCGTCCCGTGTTTGGATCGGGTACTTGGAGGAGGACCAACTTATGAAGAGGAGACAGATGTGCGATGGAGTGACTATCTCTGCGGTCGATCTAGAAGTAAACGACAGAGCAAGAAGAGTCGAAAGGGAACGACTGGGACGGAGGAGTCGAGTGAGGAAGAGGCTAGTGACGAAGAGACGAGTGGGTTGTTGGCTTGAACCATGCGAGATGCGACGCTATGCTGTAGTGTCAACATCCTGTGAGGTTCGTGAGGAGAGACTGCTGGAAGCAGTGCCGAGGTTGAACAGGTGGAAGACGTGCTAAAATGCTGCTCGTTCGGTTGAATGCTGACGATTTGCTTCACTGCTTGTTGGTCGGACGTTCGTCGCTCGAGATGACATCGAACAACTTGAGTTGATTACGATTTGTATGGACGCTGGAAGTGGTTCAGGTGGCGATTGCCAAGACAGATCACGATTCATGGCGGGATCATTTCGTCTTGAAACTTCTGGACGGGCTTTTGAGATCAGTGGTAGGTAAATTGATGGACCAGCGCAGTAGCATTATTCTCTCACTGTTACGCTGGTGACCAATATTTTGAACTAGACGCATAACACATTACGGTTTGCGTGGGTTGAGAAGGCTCTCTGGATCGTGTTGAACCGATCGGAAGACGTGCCGATAACAGGCATCGATTCGCGTTTGTGATGTCGACTCATTGCGAATATGTGGCATGTTTTTCATCTGCAGTATTCGTCGTGAGGTGTCAGTCAACAAGCCGTGGCAATAATTGAGGTGACGCCACAATGGCAAATGGATCATGCGGTCGATTTATATTTTCCAGTCTCTGCTTGTGGTATCAACGACAGTCACTCGGCTCAGCTCATGAACCTACATGTCTGCATCTCGTGTGATCCTTCTCGATCAACGGCGATACTGCTGGTTTAGTAGCTGCAACGTTAGCCTGTTTGTGTCTTTGTGGCGATCAATGGCATCTTACAATGGTGTTCCGCGTGAGCAAAGTCCATTCAATGCCGCAAACCACCTTTTATCAGTGTATGGGTAGCGTCTGTAGACGATCATTGCTTGATTTGCTACTGCTCCTTCAATGTGACATCGATACTGGACGTGTGCTGTGGTCGTCGTCGTTGCTGCAATTTATCACCACATGGGTGAAGTTGTATTGAAAATGAGAGTCATGTTCGTCCAGAACGATCAAAGTGGTCGCGCAACTTGGCACGAAACGTGGACTCGAAGCACGAAGATATGAACATGTTATGGCTCAAGCGAAGTGGTCATCGTCATCTGTCAGAAGCAGCAGCTGTAGAGCATTCCTCGATTGCACAATTTTTGTTCTTGCTGAGAGCCGTAGGCTAACCTGAAATCGCTTATCGAGATGACACGAGCCTCAATGCGCCACTGTAAAGTGGACTTTGGCCCCAATACACACGTCGGGCGTTCGTATCGTCATCCATAGCACAGCGCAGCACTTTCGAATGGAGAGGAGTGGAGCTCATTGATGTCAAAAGAACAAGCTATAAATATGGCTAGACGCAGGGTAAGTACCAGCAACGAAACATGACTCCAACTGTTCAAGAATTTCACCATGCTATCCGATGCACGCGGATAGCCAACCCATTCGTGACACATCTCAACATCGCAAATGGACTAGTCCGGTTCCGATGCTCTTGCAAAAAGCTTCGTCAACGCTTTTGGGAACAACACTTGACGGCACAATCGATGGTCACATCATTCGAAGATAGGCGCTAGCATCTTGGACATCATGCACCGTCAAAGTTTCACTATTTTCGATGCTACAAGTCCCGGCAGCCTTGTCGATCATGCTCGAGTGTTCTCGCTGATGAATCTGCTGACAAATACCTGGTCATCCAATTTCCGCAGCCATCCATGCGCGTTAGCAGTATCATGGTGTTATCCTCAGCAGGCATCAGAGGTGGATCTACCGGTGTTACAGTGATATCACTGCACCATGTTGTGATTGCAGGTCTTTCGTGTCGGTAAGAGATGAAAGTTTTCATGCTGAACGTGCGGTGTGTCAAATGAGCCGCCGAAGTTTGCCACGCGACGTGCTCAATCTTAAACTGTGTCGACTGTATCCGAAGAGTCTGTGCATCGTATTGTGGGAACTTCTCCAGCTTGTCCCGCCGAACTTGTTTCCAGCTCTTGTCAGCATTTTCTACCGCGTATTACGCAGGCTAGGAGTATAACACCAATAAAGCAGCCATTGCTGTAATCACAAAGGGCAAAACCACAAGCTTTAGTACCACATCCTTAGCAAATTCGTAAAAATGATCTGTAAGTGACCCGAGAATCCTAGATAGGCAGCTACCAATACGCCACCAACCATTTCGCTCGTCGATTCTCCGGTCAACACACCATCGGATTAGCCCACGTACAATGACATTGCAATCCACCACTTCCAGCAATTTTTCTTCGTCCATTCATGGCCAAGTGACTCATTCATCTCCGACGAAACATACTCCTAAACACTACAGGGTTAGTCAATCATAAAGCTAACCTAGCACAGGCAGATAAGCCATTCGCCTCCATGCAGAATGTGCATTACGATCCCGCCGTATGAACAACTGTAGATAAGCTCACATCGTTCCAGTCGTACGAAAACCTTGGGCAACTACACACGCGCTCGACTCACCTCTGCAGAACCAAACTTGCGAGTGCTGATGCCTAAAATGAGATCCCGCACAGCCTGTGGGTCAAATATCGACCTAACTCGAACTCTAGCAACCTCACCAGCCATAGCCAACGTAGCTATTTTGCAACAACTCTGATGTTCTTGCCATAGTGAAAGACGTGATGGTGCACAATGCTTGACGAACCGGTCGAGAAACTCGATGGCTGAGAAGCAGTTCCAGAACAACTGTCTGTCTCCACTTGCATCAAAGTTGACAGCGACACCCGAATCACTCAGAACAAAAAGCATGCGCGGCATGACTGCAGACACAGCTGGCTGGACAGAAAATTCAAGCGACTCTGAGAGTCACCTCGCAACAACATCCACACATAACCTCGAGCAAACCAGACGTGATCAACGCTATCCATTGTAGCCAGCTTGGCTTATATTACGACTTCACAAGACCCATGACCTCTTTGACATCCTTCATTGTCACTGCAGCCAGCTCTGAAGCTCGGGCTGCACCATCCGCCAACACTTTATCGAGATACTCCAAGTCAGCTTCATACTGCTTAATGCGCTCTCCAATGGGACAGATCCTTTACCCCCACACAAAAGCACAACAGAGAGAAAGAAACCCACACATCAACGTCAGCACCAACCAGTACTTGTCCATACCACAACTCGCACATACCTTGCAATAACAGCGTCAGCCACACTGTCTTTGAAAGCGCCCGTGCCGTAGTCCGCATACTGCGCTTCAAGCTGCATGACGCTTTGACCCGTGACAGCACTCGCAATATCAAGCAAGTTACTAACTCCAGGTCTCTCCTTCCGGTCATAATGAATACCGCGCACGGCATCCGTTGTCGCTTTGCGAATCTTCTTCCGAATCTCATCAGCCGAGTCCGTCAGTTCAATACGACTCATCACCGATGCGTCACTCTTGCTCATTTTCACCGTCGGATCCCGCAGACTCATGATCCGAACCAGCGACTTGCCCGGATCTCCACTCGAATCGTCTTCGTCCCTCATTGGCAACGGCTTCAACAGCACCGGTCGATGCCTTGACCTCGTCATCTCCATCTTCTTCCTTCCATCGTCCCGTCCAAAGCGAGTGTTGAACGTCGTGGCGATCATCCGAGCAAGCTCCAAGTGCTGCAACTGATCGTCGCCCACAGGGACGAGCGTCGCCCGGTACAGCAGAATGTCTGCAGCCATGAGCACCGGATACGACAACAACCCTAACGAGCTCTCAGCACGAGGAGACGCTGTCGCTTCTTGCCACGTCCTGCTCTTGCTCTTTTGCTTGAACTGCGTCATGCGATGTAGCCATGTGAGCGGCGTCACGCAGCTCAAGAGCCACGCGAGCTCCGAATGGGCTGCGACATGTGACTGGCGGAACACAATCGAGCGCTGAGCGTCAATGCCAGCGCCCAGGAGCGCAGCCACTGTCGTATACACGCGGGACGTCAAGTGCGTGGCGTCAAACGGGACAGTCAATGCGTGCAGGTCCACCACCGAAAAAAGACGGGTTAGGGGACTTGCGCAGGGTAGTGACGACACTGTAGCTGCTACCGGCGACTTGTACCCACTTGAAGTTGAAGTGACCGACGACAACGACGTGTCATTGGTGGAAAAAAACGATGACAACGACGTGTCAGTGGTCGAAACACGTGACGACAACGACGTGTCATTGGTCGAAAAGAACGATGACGACGACGTGTCATTGGTCGAAACACGTGACGACAACGACGACGTGTCATTGGTCGAATGCTGCAGTTGGACCCATTTTGCAATGGCGCCGCAATAGTTGCCCAAATGGGGGACCCCACTTGGTTGGATGCCCGAAAACACGCGGACGTCGTCAATGGTGGTACGTGGTCGGGACTGGGGCTGGAGCGGGCGCGTTGACGTTGAGCGTGGAGACGGGACACGCACGACGTCACGACGACGGCGGCACATGAGCGGCAGGTGCTTGGAGGAACGACGCGGCGACGTCATGGCAACGTCTCGAGCGGTGATTGGCGGCTCGTTAGGTTAGGGGTATGCAACTAAGAATGACAAGGAGGTGTACGTGTGTATACTGTATACGCCCCCATCGACGGCGAGGGGTGTGTACTTGACTATACATGCGTGGCTTTTTTATACGCGTCTGTGACGCAGGTGCTCCTATTGCGGCTGCTTTTGGCATGTTGTGTACTCGAGAGGTGACTTCTATTTAGTCATAGGAATATACACCTTGACGATAAAAAAATCAGTGCACACGCCTGAAAAAAAACTCGTTTTCTCTACTGTGATGCGTGTCATCGTTTGTGAGGGGAAAACAAAGTCGTTTGTCGCGATTCGACGACGTCGCGAACGGCGCCGTTTGCCTCTAGATAACGATAAATCGTGAACTCGCAACGTGCACAAAAATTGCTTTTTTGTCTCGCACAATCGACGTATCGTTGTGCACGGTCTCACTTTATGTACGCACAACGACGATGCTGTAGAACCACGTGCTTTTACAACGTCAAAACGTAATTGTGCTTTTTTTTCCAAAGAAATGGACGACGCGGTGTTGTTTACCATTAAGCACCACATGGACCGTGACTTATACGCGCCTTTGCCCATGACATAGTCGCGTTAGGTGACACCCGTTTCGATTCGACGTGCAAGCCTCACAAAAAGTCGTTAAACCCAGCAGGATCATGAGTCAGCGCAAGGTTGGGAGCCAGCACCACTCAGATGGCAAACAGTGCCGCCTTTACAGTTGTAAAGCCGTCTTACGCTCGTACAAATAACTTACAAGACACGCACAGAGACACAGGAAGGAAGCTAGTAGTCCAGCATGTCTTCACGACCGTGCATCAACCTGCAGCTCATCACTATTGAACTAAGGATCGAAACCTGAGAAACTTACTACCTACCATATCAAGATCCTATGTTCCTCCGGTCTAGCAAGTTTGAGTGCTTAAGTATCGTATGATAAGCCGTCGTACGTACGAGCCAGACGGCAATCAAGAGGTTCGTTCCAACGTGCAGTCTGCACCCCGTAGGCATGGAAAGACGAAGTGTGGGTGGCATTGTCAACCACAAGCTGCGTTCTACGACTTGATACATACAGAAGCAGCCGATGTGGTCTGCAATCTGTTTGTATCGAAACAACGTTCACTCGCCAGGTGTACTTACTACCAGAAGCTGAGTAGCTGCTATCGATTTCTGCGAGTTCATAGATATATCGTGATGCACGCTCTAAGACTAGAAGCGAGCTGTATTAGTTCGATGGTTCTTGATCCGAATCCGAACCCGTCCTTCGAGTCGCAGCGAGGACACGACGTACGCTTCTGCGACAAAGTCGTGCGCGTCAAATCAAGCTTGAACAGCGAATAATTCGTCGACCATATCGTCGTAAATTCGAGCATTAAGCAAGTCTCCGTTGCGTATGCGCATGCAGCACGGCAGAGCTTGATCGTATGCTCGAGACGGTCGGTAGGTATTTGTCGCAAGGATAGTCAAGATAAGCGGTTGATCTTCAACGAACGTCTCGTTGTTATTTTGATTGCTATCGTGGTACACTTTACTAAGTCTCTCACGACTCGAACGGCACGGATCTATTCCTGAAGTGGTCATGTGTATCTCCACACATGTCCTCGCTTCCAGCATGAAAGAACACACACGTCGACTAGTCCATCCCCTGCTTTTCAATCCAAAGGTCAACAACCTCTTACTCAAGAAGAGTACGTGACCTGGGTCGGGCATCCTGTTTGTGCGGCTCCCACCCTAGCAGATGCTGCTGCAGCATCAACACGCGCATGACGTACTCTCCCATCATAGAGGTCCAGACCCCACGCTCCTTGTCAACATCCGTTTTCAGCGTGGAGAAAAGGCCGAACGAGGTCTCACCTATCTGCTCGTCCACCCCTACCGCCACCTCGACGTCCTACGATCAAAGTGCACATGGTCCACTGACCTCGCAACCGGCACCTAGAATCCCTCGGATCAGACAGGGTGATCCCAACAGCAAAGACATGCACCCTTTCAAGCAGTAAGCCATCTACTTGACGACCTGCCCATCGATCTACTGCATGAAGCTTGTAGCTCCTACCTGACAAGAGCTGAAAGTGAAGAGTTTCCGCTAGGGATAGAAGGGAGGAAGCAGATCTTTCGTCGTTGACTTGAAGGCAGACGCCGTGGAGATTTGCTCGACGGTTCGCAGTATACGGCACTCCTTCTTCTTCAAAGGCGGTCGGTCACGTCGCACACACGACGACTGATCCTTCCCAAGGTCGTACCTCGCACGCACCTTAGTCGCCAGCGACAACTACTGGTCACGTGTCACGAACGTGGTCCAACAGCGACCGGGACCATTTTTTTTGGCTCAGGATCGTCCCTGGGCCATCATTACACCACCGAGATTGGCAGGGACCAGGTCAAGATGACTGGATTGCTACATGGTCATGCAACAACAAGTAGACAAGGAAGGAGTCAGTCCAACCCTCTCTCTCTCTCTCTTTTTAGGTTGGATGAGGTTGGTCAAAGGCGACAAGATCGAGAGCTTCGATTCGATACCGTTCAGATAGAGCTAGAGCAGAGAGCGATCAAGAAATCAATAGAGAGAACGGAGCTTGTCTCTCCTCACGAGCGTAGCTTCAACACGTGGCGCGAGGGCTGAATCAGGATTCAAGTGCCCGACTTATTGGCGTTGACGGCCAGTGGGCCGAGCCCAGCCGGTGGGCAAGTCCCACCTGTGGCCCTGCACGTCTCAAAACTCGTGTTTGGCATCGAAGCTTGGAAGTAGGAGAGAAGAAGAAGAAGCTGTTCGGAAGGAATATGCAAAGCCAGAAGCACCGGGTCTCGGTGGAAAAAAAAAGATGGAGATAAAGAGAGAGCCACGACGCGACACGACGGAACAGATAGTCAATAGTCAGTCAGTTCGTGCGTTTGTGCGTCAACCCAGCAGCTTTGAATCCCCTCAGCCTCCCCAGCTCGTGTCCATGCGGCTAAACCGCACATTTCCGTCAGTAGCAGATGGTCTGAAAACGTGGGGCGCTCTGCCTTGTGGAAGCCATGCAACGAGATGACGTGCAGTCGTAGTTTAAAGCTGGATCTCTTACCTCAGATCTCGGCGTTCGAGCTGGAAAACCTCGTGCCTTGTCCTGATTGCGTGTGGATGTACGTACGTATCTCCTGCGGCCTCCACAACAACATGTTGGCGCTGACGTTGATACGCTCTTGACGTGAATGTGAAAAGCGATTCAAGCGAAAAAACAAACCACAGCTTCAATCACGTGCTTCACGCTCGTTCGCTCGCGCACGTGAAGCGACATGCGTCGATGATGGCCAAACCCTCGAATGTTTATGGCCGACAGGCAGCCACATCTCGCTGACGGCAAGTCGAAGCCACTTCCTGGTCGAGTGCTGCCTCGTTTGCGCTTTGGTGCTGCTCCTCCTACTAGGTCACACCCACGACTGTTTGCCACTTCTAACGCGCTATAATTACTTCCTTGGATCACGTACGTTCATCTTGTCTTCTCGATCCGCGACCATGCCGTTCCGTAGGTCGTGCAGCATCCATACAGAACTCGACAGGAAAGAAACGACACCACAATAATGGTAGCATGCTACTACTGCTCATAATAATAATAACAACCATCATAACTAATAAAAATAATAATATCAACTACCCAGCGACTTTTTTCCCATCGCATGTGCTTGTTTTCGTCGCTTTTTTTCCATCTCGTCCTCTGACCGCGTATGCTTGGCCCCAACTCGATCGATCACTCGACCGACCGATCACCGAACTCTACTCGCGCACGCACGGCGTGTCGCCATTGTCTTCTTTCCAGTATTTATTTATTTTTTACTAGACGCCACAAAAACAACGTTTTGTGGCGCGAGCGTTCGCGTGGCAGTAGCAGCAGCAGCAGATGAGGGCTAGGGCGCGGGCTAGGGCGCGTCAAACCAAAAGCACGTACCGTCTGACGTGTAGACGTTTACGACGATGCGACAACACAAGGGTGGGTGGTTAGCGCCCGCCCCGTCTGCTCGGGCCTGCCGACCCGAGCTTTCGAGAACGTCCCAGTCACATTGGAATTTGCCGTCTCCCCGACAGCCGCCGTCTGAACGCCCGCCATCCATCACTTTCTCCCTTTATTCCGTTCTAGAAACATTAAACCGTGACTTTCTTGTCGCCTTTTGCTGCTTGAGTGATTGAAAGACCGAGAGAGGGGGCCAGACCGTGTCGCTCGTTTCCACCTTTTTTTTCTCTTCCCGCTCCGCTACACAAGCTCTTTTCATCTTCCTTCGTGCCTCCATACGATGCCCAAGTCGACGACGACGACGACTTCGACGATGCACCACGCGACGGATTCAGGAGGCCACGCCGCCATGAAGAAGCAGTGGCAGACGAACTTGGAGATTGACTTGCTCAAGAACGCGTGGATCCGCAAAGACCGCGAGCAGTATGGAGCCCACTCGACGCCTCCACTTTCAGCTGCCAAGTGAACATGAGAGAGAGAGGAGGCACTGTCAAGAGCCTATAGAGAACGATAGAAGCCGCAAAAGTGGCTCGCTAGGACACGGCTGCGTCAGCGGTGCTGGTCTCCTGCAAGAAGAGGCAGAGGAGGACACGTCAGACGCGAGTGGTTGCCATTGCGACCACGTTCGAGCCAGCTGATTATGGGCGACTTGGACGCCTTGTTGATTATTAGAGAGGAAGGATGGATGGATGGATGGATGGAGGAAGCGCAGCGTCGATTGAGCGAGCGAGCGCTTGGCAAGTATTTAGCACACACACACACACACACACTTATGCCATGATCTAAATTATACACTGTTTTGTGGAGTAGTCTGTGTCTTTTGTCGTCGTCGACGGTGTTGGTGCCGTGGGTATACACTTGCGGGTGGGTACCATCGTGTATACTCTTTCTCGCTTCGTCTTGCAAGAGACCAATCTGAGCCACGCGACTAAAGTTCGACTCCGAGGCCGAGGTGTTCCGCGCATGTTCTGCGCAAATGCGTGAAGTCGCGACATGAAGTAGCGCGTCGCTTATTTGAAAGAAAACACACACACACACAATCAACCGGGCTACTATTGGCTCGGAACCGGCTGAGGCCAGGAATCAGCTTATTTTTTTAATTTTTCTTGCGCGTAGGCGCGTGTCCTATACAAAGAAAGCATCGCGTCGATCCTTCGCCACTTGATGAAAAAAAAACCGTGGCCGTACCACACCTTGTCACATGACTCTTCAGCACGGAGGGATCCTTTTGGCCGTGTCTCTTGCCGCCGAATCACAACTTTGAGAGCGCATCTCGAGCTTCACGAGCCAGACGACGTGAAATTTTGAGCGCTTCAGCACTTGTTACAGAGCCGCGTGTGTTCGTGCCGAATGCACGAGAGCTTTCAAAGACCGCGGCCGGTTCGAGTCGAGGTCGTCGTACAATCAAAGGATCGTCGGTTTATTCCAGCGAGAGGTTGTTGCGGTCGTTCCTGTGACGGTTCTACAACTAGAAGTCTGCAGCTTTTTTAGACTCGATCGTCGACAGCTTTTTAGGAGCATACGACGCTATTGTCAAGAACATTCGAGTTTTCCCACGGTTTCGCCCTTCCCTTCTACCACTACTGCATCCGCTCGATGCTTTCGCGTCTCTTTCAAGATGACGAACTTCCGCGTGTGATATCAGGCAAGTAGCTGGACGGCAGCTCACGTCCCAATCGGTTCTCGAGTTTCCATCCGTCCGACTCACGAGTCAGTCAACTGGAATCCTACCGACTCATTGACTCGCCTTTGTGTCTCGGACGAATCTCGACCTTCCCCCACCGTCTCCCGTGCTATACATCCACTAGTATTGTCTCTCCATCCCCTCATTCTTCTCCTTCTTCTTCTTCTTCTTCTCTAGACGATAAAGCTAGTCAAGATGTCGCTTCTTCCAGCTTACAAAAGAGCCACCCCATGTCAAGTTTGTTCGCAGCGTGCAGCGAAACTCGACGTGGTCCCTGCAGTAAACTACAAGTGCACGCGTAGAATAATTGCTTTGTTGAAGTCCCCATCGAGCAAGATGGCGGGTCTCTCTCTCTCTCTCTTAAACCTTGCAGAAGGTGTGACTGTCTTTCGACCAAGCCCCTACGGACGCGTTACTGATCTCGGCACAAACTTTGAGCTAAAAAATTCTACCAGCGTCTCTCTCACAACAGGACGCAAGGGTCAAGCCGTGGCCGCGGGCAAAGCCTGACGCCGTCATCGGACCATGTCCGTGAGAATTTGACTGGCTGGCTAGCTAACGGGCGTGACAACCCCACGCGTGGTGGTGACTGGCCGCTCGTCCGCGCCAAAAAAACATAACGGCCAGAAACTCGCTTCACCACAGTTTGCACCATCGCGAGAGCAGCCGCAAAGAGGGCGCGACGGCACCGGATCAGAGATGGCTACGTCGTGTCAATAATTCCCATCCAAAGGACCGGTTCCTCTCCGGGTCAAAACGCGCCGCACCTCGCGTGAACTGCTCGTTTTAATTTTTCAAGACGTCAAGCGCAGTCTCACGTGCTTCAGCTGGCAAGGCAGTCACGCCATTTTCTTCAAGTGGGCAAGTGTGTAAGTGTGTGTGTTTTCGATACACTAGGGCCAAGCAAATGTTCGTGTTTTCATGATGTTGGGAAGAGAGACGTCAACCGTCATGCAAAGTGAGACGTGGGGGCAAATATCGAGTGATAGGACGACATAGCAGGACGAAGACGTGGCTGTCCGTCCCTTCCGTCGTTTTCGACGCGAAGCTCGTCTCACGTAACGTAACGTAGCACAGTAGGTAAGGAAGGAGGAGGCAAGTCGGTTGGTTCGGACTTGACTTGACTTGACACGTGGTCGAGGCGAGGGAGTGGAAAGGTGGCCTTTTTTAGTAGCACGGCGGAAAAATTTGCCTGGCCCTGGACGTTGTCATGTCGACGTGCTTCGAACAATCTTCGTGGAGCTCCAGTCACTCGAACCTGTCACGTCGTCGTCGAGCTCAGCAGCAGAGGAGACGGATTCGGCTGGTGGCGCGCTTGCCACCGGTCAAACCGAAATTTGCACTCGAGGACGCACCTGATCACGTCCTTCCGTCCGTCGTTCGATCCTCGAGTCCTCGAGTCCTCAATCCTCTCCTTCTTTGGTCAGCTGTCCGACTCGAGCTTGACGATCGTATGCCGCCCAAGCCTCCGACAACGACAAACAAGGCAGAAGACGCCCAGAAACAGCGGCAGACGAACCTGGAGATTGATCTGCTCAAGAGCGCGTGGATCCAAAAGGACCGCGAGACGCCTCCCAGTACTGGGAAACAATAGACCCCACGACAACCGACGTGGTGGGGCGAGCAAAGGACCAGGAGAGACACCTACGACGACTACAGGTCGTTTTTGCAGCAACCAGTCATCCACTTTGGTTGGTGGGGGGAGGAGACAAGTTGACAGCCGGTCGGGGGTCACGTCGCGACTACGTTAACCTTCCTTGAAGCTCGGCCACGAAATGACTTGGCAGCAGGCCTTGAACTCAAGCAGCGACGCAGCTGCGACGGACGGACGGACGGATCGACAGACGGGCAGGTGTCGCGAGCTTCGTTCCGTGTCGTCATCAGCTGGCCGCCTCTGATCTCCCTCCTCCCTGCCTTTGTTTCTCGGACCTGAGCTCGACCAAGGACGTTTTTCTCAAGTGAATAATGCACCAAGGAAGCGAGCTGGTGCCTCAAGTTGGAGTCAAGTAGAGACGACAAGACGCACGACCAGTTCATAGAGTGCGCTCGTGTAGTAACCAAGTGTGTTGTCAAAAGACGTGAGAAGTAAATTATACGCAGGTAATAGTAGCAATGCCATGATCACCATCCTTATCATCATCATCTATTGATCGATCACGAGGTGATCTACTGCTGGATCCACAACTATCTACCTAATCGGTCTAGCAGCTCGTGCTTGTGCCACGATAAACCCGCAAGCAAGAGACAGTCAAGCGGCTTTCGACGGCAGAAGTTGCGGTTTTTTTCTCGCCGACCGTGACGTCCGACACTGCGTGGAAAACAAGTGGCACGCCGACTTTCTGTCGTCATCGTCCGCTCTGCCTGTCTGTCTGGTGTCTTCTCGTTTACCTTCCTGTATGCCTTGAAGCGCTACCGCGTGATCCATCGACTGACGTGCTGCTGCTGCATTGTCTGCAAAGGCTCAGATTACAAGACGAACGAGACCACGACTATGGGTCGAGATAGGCGAGCCACGGTACCCAAGCAACAGCTACATTGCAAGGCGTTCGTATGCTGCGAATTGGCAGTCGAAAGTTGCGACTTGTGGCTATGAAGCAGCAGCAGCAACAACTCCGAGCACGTCCGAGACCGAATACATGACACTTGACGGTCAAACATCCACGGCAGACAATGATTCGGTTCTGACGGCAGCTTTGCGTCACGTGAGACGAACCTGACCATCGATCGTGCGTTCCAGAGATATGCTTGCTTCTCCTTCTATTTGGGTGTGAGTGCAGTCGACCTTCTTGTCGATCAGGTAGTGAGGATGCCGACACTGTAAGGAGCAAGCTCCGGTCTTGAACAGCAAACTCATTGACACCTACAGACCAACGAAGACGTTGAGCTATTGCCAGCACCTTTGTTGCTACCAAAGTTGTAGCCTACATCTTAAAACCGATACTTTTCTCAACCTTCGAGGCATCGTCTTCAAGCTGAATGAACGAACGGCTTCCGTCCTGTTGTGCTTCGTTTGTTTACGTGGAGAAGGGGCTCGCACCTTGCGTCTATCCAAGGTCCTTCATGTTGAAGTTCTCTGTCCGTCCGTCCGTCCGCGTGGCTGTCACGACGACGATTCCAGCTCAACTGACACGTGGTATCGTATCCTTACGATGGGAATTCCACGCCTGACATCGTCCTCTTTTGACACACATAGACACCGATGCACCTACGTGGCGCAACAGTTGCGATGCTGTCACCGTAGTACCACCTATCGAGACTGTTCTGAGCTGCGAGAAAAAAACGTGCTCGGTGATAAAAAGCAGCACGACATCGATTAGAGCATGTCGGAACCTGCTGGCGAGAGGTGAGATCCAGGACCGAGTGATAGGAGACAAATGAGGCGAATGTTCCCCAGTGAGCAAGAGAGAGACTAGCGACAGTCACAACGACCGCAGACGTTTCCAGTTCCACCATAACAAGCTTTTCGGCTTTCTCGCTGGTCGAAAGGTCCGCTCTGTCGTGGAACTGCTTCGTCCCACGTGGCGACGGTGTCGACAAGGCGCAGAGCACACGTCTCGTCTGGCAACAAACGATCGACGTGGTCGGAACGAAAAGCTTCAATCGGGACCACAAACAGACGCTGCGAACGTGCCTTACAATCGCTGGGAGACAGTTGAATACTTACATCTTTGCCCGCCGCCTCGAGCAGTTTGTGCATCGATAGCACACCAACAGAACCGCAAAACCACTCCCGTTAACCCGGGATAAGCTTCAAAAGGCGGATAGCTTACACTATCAAGAGATGTGAATTAGGATCTCGTCAGGCGTTAGTAGGTTGGCTTGGAACGCTAAAGCGCTCGAAGACAATCGATCGATAGAGCCAACGATGATAATTATGCGGGCAAAAGCAGTATACGCTGAGCCCTCTAATCGTCTCTCGATACGCTCGCATGACCTTAATTTACGTACGACTAGACATTTTGACGTAACGCTAACCGATGATGACTCGATATCCACGTGACGCTTCGTGTGCGGTGTAGAAACGTCTTTGAAAACTACGGGAACTTTCTCGACAGTCGGGACATCAATAGAGTCGAGCGAGTGGACCTCACGACACTGCAATCGAGAGGCGATTCGATCGTTCCACGCACGTTCGTAGAACTTTTTCGCATGTGTTCCACCACCACCGTTGGATCTTTATTTCCAACAAGGTGCTTGTCGCAGTTCCACATGGTAAGCAAGAGCTTGCAGAGATGTTTACACAGTTTGTGCACCGTATGCTTTGCCGTTCATTTCTTCGCATCAAGGTGCATCTCAAGCAAACTCGCACTCTCCATCGAGCAGATTATCGACCACGGTATCTGCAATCGCGAGCGATGCAGCAAGACCTGGCGACTCAATGCCACAGAGGTGCACAAGGCCTGGTATGCCATGCACATGTTTGTTCTAGAAAGATTTGGACCAGCACGACGACCGTTCATACACTCATTAGTATCGAAAGTTTACAAAAGTGGCAAAATCAAGACTCACTGCAATGTAGAAGTCGTCATGGATCTTGCCGCCAATGGCGATCTTGGGACGGATACCGCAATAGTCAGCTTCCAGTAGTTCTGCACGCACGTCCGGCCAGTACGCACGAATTCTCGCTGCGAAATGCTCTGCTTTTGACGAGTCGGGCTGGTAGTCGATTTGGTCGACCCACTCAACGTCTGGTCCAAAGCGGACATTGCCAGCCAAATCAACTGTTGCATGTACACCGAGGCCACCGACTTCAGGAATCGGATACACCAGGCGTCTAAGTGAACACAAGTCCGACTCATGAGCTAGCGGTCCATAGACTACCACCACTTTAAGTACAAGTGAACGTACCTAAAAGGCCTGTTCGTCGAGCTCAGCTTGAAGTACGTACCCTTCGCAAACCGTTCTGGGAGGCATGGAACGGACCGCAATGTCTTCGCATCAGTCGATACCACCTTGGCCACTAGATCCGGTGCAAACATGCCTGTAGCATTGACAAAGTAATCACACTCGATTTCCTGATCCTCTTTTCCATCTCGAGTCGTCGCTTGGATCACAAACTTCATTGACTTTGGATCATACGTGCCTCCACGTACAGCAGTCTCTCTTGCCACCATCATACCGTGTGCTTCTGCATCACCTTGCAACGCCTGCATCAGTGAATGCGAGTCCACAATGCCAGTAGACGGTGAATAGATAGCTTCGTGACCGTGCACGTGGGGCTCGATAGCTCGAATCTCGCTTCGTGTCAGCAGCTTCAAGTCCTGCACACCATTATCCAGTCCTTGCTTGAGGATCCACTGCAACTCGTTCTTCTGATGCGCCTGGGCGACAATGAGCTTGCCACATTGTGCAAATGGGACATGAAACGCCTTGCAAAAGGCATAAAGTTGCTGTCGACCTCGGACACAAAGTCTCGCTTTCCAGCTCGTTTTGGCGTAATAGATCCCAGCTATAACATCAACACAAAATGATACCGACAATGATTGGTCGAGCCGCCGGAATCAGAAATAAGTGCAGTTTGTGTGTGCCACACCACCTACCATGCACGACTTCGCTGTTGCGCGCGCTCGTTTCTTGTCCCACGAGCGCGTTCTTCTCAAGTACGAGCACGTCCACGCCTCGACGAGCAGCAGTACGTGCGATAGAGAGACCCACGACCCCCGCGCCAGCGACAATTAGCGTCTTGGGCGGCATAGACCGTTTTCTAGGCTTAGAGCCCGCAAGAATCTCGAATTGGCATTTGATTGGTCAAAAAGACTGATGGGTTCAAAATGGTGTAATTCACACCACCAACCCATGCCCACCATCCAATTGGTGGCAATGGTCAAGTTGCAGTCGGAGAGTAAACTGCATAATGAACTCAAGTGACTTGGACGAGGAAGACAAGGAGCTGGACGAGGGGTTTCAAGTGGAACTTGGCTTTGTAGGTGAACAAGAGCCGGTACTGGATGCTTTGCTGTTGCATGCTGAGCCAGATTGGACCAAGTGGGACAGTGGCAAAGTGGGTGGCCGACCGAGCTGGTTGTACCCATTTGCAGCAGACCTTCCCTCGACGACGGAGCTCCAGTGTCAAGCTTGCCGCAATCCCCTGTCTTTTCTGCTGCAGATTTACTGTCCATTGGACGACGTCGACGATGCTTTTCATCGCAGTCTCTACGTCTTTGTCTGTCGTTCTTCTGGCTGTGATTGTCAAGGAGATGGGAAAGCTTTTCGGCTGCAATTGCCAAAGGAAAATGCGTTCTACGCAGCTACTGGCGGTGCAACAGCACGGAGAGTCAAGGATGTTGAAGCAAGAGTGGGCTTTTGCGTGCTCTGTGGCCAACGCGCGACACTCACGTGCAGTGCGTGCCGTGTGGCACAGTACTGCAGTAAAAGTCATCAGAAAGATCATTGGGTGGCTGGAGGGCACAAATATACGTGTACTCAATGGTGCGTGGTTGGAGAGACTGTTGTAGTGTTTGTTTGTTGCTCGTGGGGGTGCTGGTTGCTGAGAGATGTTGATGGGTGATGTTGATGATGATGATGGCAGTTTGGAAATGCACTCGCTGGTCGAGTCGGATGAGGCACGAGAGAAGGTGATGGTTAAAGGATCGACGTACGTCTTTCCAGAACAAGTACTGGAGATCGACCATGAACCAGACAGCAGAGAAGCGGCAAATGAGTACGTTAGTACTTGGAGAGAGCGTGTATTAGTAACAGGGTCCGCTGACGTGTGTGTGGTTGTTAGGTACGAAGCAAAGATGATGGCAGAGTTCGAGGACGGTGAGAAACGCTGCTTTTGGTGTGCTGGATTATTATCAATGCATTGGCAGCTGACAACCACAATGTTTCTTGACACTCGCTAGCTAAGACACAAAATGATGACGACGACACGGATCTGGATGTGACGCAGCAAGAGCTGAATGAAGCTCTGGGCCATACCACGGATCAAGATGAGCAATATGTGCGCTTTCTCACGAGAGTAGCGCTTGCAAAGGATCAGGTGTTGCGCTACTCTCGCTGGGAAAACGAAGCTGTGCTTTGGGTCCATTCGAAGGGCATGCTTACAAGCGATGTGCCGCCATGTGGACGGTGTGGAAGTGCGCGTAAGTTCGAGTTTCAGGTGCTACCGCAGTTGCTGCACTACTTAGGCGTGGACAAGCAAAGTTCACTTGGCGACATTACGTCGCGCAGCTGTGAGTGGGGAACGCTTGCTGTCTATACGTGTGCGAAGAGCTGCCCACTTGAGACCCAATGTGCCCAGGAATTCCTTCATTACCAACCCGCGTATGCTGGTACTGCATAAGAAGACAGCTGGACGACTAAGCAGAACAGGTTGGTTTGAATCAACACGACAGCAGTATATTGGTCGTAATGCGAGCACCTGATGTCGTGGTCATTATGCATCTGATGTTGCATTTAGATTATTGAAAGGCTGCGACTGATATGCTGAGCTCATCACGATACCCAACCATCAAATTCACACTCAAACCATATTAAGATTTCCTTCATCGTCAACGCACCACTCACTTAACGAGACTGTTGGGTTCGGTTTGAAGAAGATTGAAGTCGATCTGTTTCCCCGCAGTTTTAATGTCGTCGCTGCGTGTACGCACCAAGAACAAACTCATGATGGCTTTGGGCGCTGTCCAGCCCAGTTCGAATGTGGCTTTCGACTTGGTCTACTCGGACTTTGAGTCTACGCTGCAACGGCTTGTGAAGCTGGACTCGGTGCTGAAAGCGTACGTCTCTTCACTGAAAAGATGTCATGGTGCAGCAAGTTCAGTGATGGTCGCTATTGAAGATCTGTCGCCCAGAGGGAACCGCGCCATGAGGTATCAGCAGACTTCTGCCGAATCGTTGGAAACGAATTACTTAGCTGGCGAAGCTCGAGTGGTTTGCGCTGATGTGGATCGGGCAGTTTTCGACGAAACTTGTGATCGACTCGAGCATGAAGTCCTGGTGCCAGTGAACAAATGGCTGCAAGATGCCCGTAACCTCCAAAGCAAAGTATCAGCATTCCAAATGCAGAAAGCCCTTTGCGATCATTATTCGCGTAAGGTGGTAGTATTGCGAGAAGCACATGAACGGCGTGTCAGCAATGGTCGAAGAGAGAAAACGAAGAGCACGGAGCGGCTGTTTCGCAACAAGCGAAAGTTCGTTGCTACATCGCAGAGCTACACGCAATTGTCGGAGACCATTATTCGTGAACTACGTGCGTTTGTTTTGGCGAGAGATGCTGCGTTGACACCGCTCTTATATCGTGTATTGCAAGGCCGTATCATTCACGCTGAGTGTTTGCATGAAGCTACGAATCGTATTCGTGCACTGGTCGAGGACAGCTTGGAAAGTAGTGAGCATCGAATGGATCTTGGTGAAGTTGTAACAACTGCTCGAGGCAATGAGTATGCGGGGTCAGAAATGAGACCTTTGGCTACTGTTACGTCTGCTCATCCAGACAAATTCATGGTGCGTGAGTCTTCGTTTGAAACGTTTGTGGGTGAAGCCTCTCACCAAGCGGCACCTCAACTGACTACGCTCAAGTCTGCTTCCAAAATGATGTTGGAAAAGCGTGTGCTTCAGTATCGCTCTCAAAAAGTGGGAAGCAGGTACCATTCTGGATGCGTCGAGGTACCGGTTTGGCTAAACCCGGCTACACACCACCGCACGGCATTCCGCGCTTCATGAAAGCGAACGTGTCTACGAACAGTGCTGCAAACGAGTCTCGCGACGACGAGTCCTCGGTTATGGCAGTATCGACAAGACCAGCCAAGAAATTGTTGACCAGTTCCTGTATGCCACTCAATCCCACGAGAAGGTTCTGGAATATTTTCTCAGCAGCTTCAGCTCCTTCGATTGACCGGTGAACAGGCAGAGAATAGGGTGCAGCAGCTGCATGGAAAGAGACCAACGAAAAGTTGCAGCAAATGTTGATGGTTAGTTACACGTTTGTCTACTCGTTGTGGCGAAGTCACAGCTAAAGCACTACGGCCTATAACTCGATTCAAGAATTCAGGCGTTCGTAGTCTAATACCTGCTATATCGATGTTATAAGCATGATAAATACGTGCAAGTAGAGCTATATTAGCGGAGGTATTGCAATTGTCTAGAAGATGTGCACACTGTTGCGATTCACATAATTGGAGATTTCTGGTTGTATGGCAATAAACTATTCACGAATCGTGCGATCTGTAAGTTCATGCGTATTACGATCATTAGTCGTTGCGATGGATCAATGTTTCGTTAAATATATTCATATTGTCGTCAGCGGTGTGCAAACTTCAGTTCAATTACGCTTTAAAACACTGCATAGCATTGTAGTTTTCCTCGATGTACAGCACTCTACCCGACAATGCATTAGCTTTTATTCTAACTATCCTTGTGCTATTTCGGTCAGTATCTAGAGCATCTAGTGACGTTATACAGTCTACGATCTCGCCACAAGTCTCGTTGCTTGATCACTTCTATATACCCGGATGATGTGAAGGTTTACCGGGTATGCAAAACTTGGCGTCAAAAGTCTATGACGTAGTATCCGATGTTTTTGCCTGAGCAAGTCCGTCCTTGCGGGAAGCCATAGTCTGCCGCAACCGTTGATTTTCCAGCTCCAGCTCCCGAATTTTGCTCATGCGGGTCTCTTGTTCTGCCTGCGCAATTTCCAGGCCGCGTACGAATTCATGCAGCAACTCCATTTGCTGATTCAAAGTATCTTCATCCGTGCATTGCCACCTTCCTGTACGACGAGTCATGTCCGATATCTCACGTAAATACTTGGTCTTAAGCAGTGACGTGAGTGAGGGGCGGGTACTTCTGGTCAGACCTGTCGCTGTCGCTGGAAACGTTGAGCTTGGCGCAATTAATGATGGTTGATCCACATCAGCTGAATGAGTGATTACACCATGTCGGGCATTCTCTTCGTCTTCAGCTTCGTTTTCTTCATCATTGTGGTCATTTTCTTTGGTTTCGATGATTTCATCGTCATTGTCCGTAAGATACCGAGAAGACGAAGTCGAGAGCGGTAGAGTCTTAGTGCTTGCACTGCCACCACTGATCAATGTCTTGCTGGATGTGTTTGCAGAATCTCCAGCACGAACGAGTCGACGACGTGCATGATCTTCTTCCTTGACCTCTTCGACTTCTCCATCTTTTGTCTCGGACTCAAACCAATTCACGTTCTCGTCTTCAGTACTGCGCACATGTGTTTGGCGGCGTAATGGTCGAGTTGCTATCCTCGATTGCATCGGAGAAGCCTGAACTTCCACCTCTACTTGTCGCCTGGCTGCAATCTGTCTTGGTGTTGGTTTCTCCTGCAAATAGCGTGCAGTTGAGTCACCTCGTCGAGGCACCTCGCTTGGCACCGTTGTGGTTTGAAGTGAAGCCATTGAAGGAGGTGGATCTTCGTCCACGGATGCCAGTTCCTCGTCGTCAGGTCTCGCTTGCGTTGGCGAAGAGTTTAGTATCACCTTGTTGATGTTATTGATCGCAAATGTGAGCTCCATCTGCCGTTCACTCAGCTTCAGTTGACTGGAGCTGCTCGTTTGAGCAGGCCGTCGACTACTCATTTGTAAACGATCGAGTTGATCTTCAAGCTCTCGAATACGAGCTCGGTACTTCCGCAGCAATGCTGACTCGCCCAATCCATCGTTGATGACGACTCGATTACGCACTCTTCGTGCACGACTTGCAAACTTCAGTGTATTGTGCGTCTCTGCTAAGCACTCAACGGATGGTGATGCCGTGCAAACAATAGCAATTTGGGCTTGACCACCCAATGAAGGCTGTAAAATTCGAGTAAGCTTGGAATTGCGATACGGCAGATGCAACGTGTTGAGTGTTCTAGAACCTCCAGCTTCTGTCCTATGACGGTCGCGACTGAGCTTCCAGATAATGTGTCCGAGCGTGAGTAAGCTGCGATTAATGAACTTGCCTTCCTCAAGAGCTTGCCCAGTAGTATTCGCAAGTCGGACGCTCTCAGAGCCAGCAAGATCGACAATGTTCAAGGTCGCTGATCGCACAGAAGCCACCTCATTGCAGTCTCGACTGCTCCGCTTATCTTGACTCTCTATAACCTATAAACGAATCCATACACCACCAAGACAGACAGAAAACATGCCAAGACGTAAGTGACATAAGTCCGATGAGAGCTCTGACCTACCCTGCAGCAGCCAGAAGCCAAGTCAACTAGATCAAAAGCTGATGAACGCTGTTCGAATCGCACAGATTTGACACGCAACGAGCGAAAGGTATAAGCAAAAAGACTCGCGAGATCGTTTACCATTCGGAATACCACGTGGGACCTGGATGATTGATCATTCGACTCGGTTGTAGCCATGTGACGGTGCAAGTTGCCCAACTCAACGAGCGAGAGCACATGCTCGGTAGACAGCACAATCTCCTCGCGCAATCCTTTGATAACGACGTCTTTGGTGACAAACCCGTCGCGAGTATTTGTACTCATGGCAGCGCCTCGATGGTGTACATCATAAATCTTGATATCCGACTTTGCTCCTGCTGCGAGCAAATCATGAATCCGTTCGTTGTAAATCTCCAAGTAGGAAAAACGCAGCAGGAACTCCATGCCCGAATGCCGTGCGATGTTATCAAAAATATCCTGGACCGCCAACTGAATAATTCCAGGGTCCCCTCGACCACCCTGCACATAGTCAGAATGCCAAAGAAAAAACGTCACCATCGCCACTCATCGCCAGCTCATTCCCCATAATGTGCATTTTTGCAGCACTAGATGATCTACAAAGCATCAATCAAAACCACGACGAACCTGCATAGTATACGTCTTGCCCGTGCCTGTTTGTCCATAGAGAAACACGGACGAGTGATAGCCTTCCATTGCTGCCATGATAGCATCCTGAACATAGATACATACACCGACGAAAGCGCACAGCAAAAACAAATCCAGTGGCCGTAAGTACCTCGACACGTTCATGATGAACTCCTAGTCAAAGCAGCAGCGTTTTCAACGGTCGTTCGTATAAAATTATCTGCACCTTGACAGTCTCTTGATAAACCGTTTGAGTCTGCGTCGCTGGAGGGTATAAATAGTCAAACGAGTACGACGATGGTAACGCTAACCCCGCGTCCCGTCGACTCGAAGAACTCGACGACGTCGTGGGTTTCCCACTCCTGCTCTTCATTTTCTTCACCTTGTCATCGTCTTCGTTTGGATCACTTCGTGAAGGTATCTGTGCCGGAAAAATCTGCTGATACAGTGTGTTTTCATGCCTGAACCTCCCGCACATGAACACGAACGCAGAGACAAATACACACAGGCACAGTAAACACACACACGTGTCATAAGCACGTGAGTCGACAGTTGGGTTGACATCTCTATGCATCCATGACTTTTTGACTCTTCGTACCACGTCCACGCGGCTTTCCCACCGGCTTTCAACTTTTCCGTCCGCGTAAACGGACGAAGGCGAACGGATACTTTGATCCGGTTGTTCTGGTCCCGCCTTGACGAGGCCATTGCGTGTCAACTGGTTTTACCCTCAAGGGGGAGGGGGCGAATCCAAGACGACGTCAGCGGTTGACGGACACGAGTGAATAGTACTACAGACAGATAGATAGATAGATAGACAGACAGACGGTACTTGCTTGCTTGGCGGCACTAGGGAGCGAGCGACAGTCCCGTCGTCGTCCCATCCGAGTTTCGTGCGTGACCCATCGTCGTATGCTTTACATGAAGGCCTGGAACGCAAACGAGACTTGTCAAGTCAATGCTCGGTTCTTTTCCACACAAGGGTACGACGTTCGTCCCAGTTAGATGGGAAGATCGAGCATTGACGCCCCCGTCTCGTCTGAACCGAGTCAAGTATCACATCCCTCGATCGCTAAGAAGAAGGAGAAGGAGAAGAAGAAGCTCTTCTTTGCATTGGATCGAGGTCTACGATAAGGTTGTACCTTTCTTCAGCAGGAGAGGAGCATCGTCAGCATCCTAGGCATGCCAGTCAACCTGGCATTTCAACCATCTTTTATACCTTTGTCGGACCCACCTTCAGGAGGTTTTTTTGCAGGCGTCTTAATTTTGGGAACCAGAACTTGGAACAAGAGGTCGAGATGTCGCTTAAGTATCAGAAATCAAACCCAGCTGAACAGGACAAAGTGCTGGTCCTTGCTTGCTCGCAAGTGCCCATCCAGAAGAGCGCCGATGCGACAATTTATTTTGTCAAGCGACGCCACAACAGATTGACGAGCTTTGTAACGACGTGAAAAGCAGCAGCTTGGCGATCGATGAACTGTTTGGTACTGGAGGAAGCAATCGAGACGTATGGTGGTGAAGCGTGTTCTGCATACCCAGAAGGTCGCTGTTGGATGCAGCCTTTTTCTTTTCTTCTTCTCGAGTTTTTGCTAGTCTGTGGTCTTCTTGACCCGAAGTGTGGCGCAGGAGTGTCGTCGGTCGACTTTACAATCCGGCGATTCCATCTGAACAGCAGATGGGGAGAGATGGGGTGCTGGAGACTAGTCGAGGTTGCAGAGAGGAGGACTGCAGATGAGGCGATGAGGCACAGAACAGCGTCGACCAGCTCGAGAAGGGACGTCCTTGATTTGACAGGGATATGCGGCTCATTTCCCCGTCGACTCATGTGAGAGATATTAGTGTTGCCACTCTTGTTCACCAGTCGACGAGAACCATTTACATTTCGATCGAGCGGGTCGACAGAGGTCGACATACTGCACGCAGTCCCGATGCGAATGAATGAAGCCACCGATATTGACTTGACACGGTTTACGCATGTGGACAAAAGTAGCTCGATCACTGTCGCTTGAGCTGCACCAATGGTTCATTATCCAGGACTTACAGGTGACATAGTCTTCAAGTTTTCGAGGACCGAACTTGTGAAAGGCAGGCCAGGCTGAAACGCCGTCGTGTCTGCTGACAAGTACTGGTTTGTTAGTAGTATACATGATATGGAGAGGCCGTCAAGACCAACAGACGTGGCACTTTTGAGGACAAGCAGATTTTGAAGAGAGCTCTAGCACGTCAATAAATAATCCATGACACTCTTCTGATATACGAGCGTGTTCACGACGCATTATGTAATGGTTTGTCTTGTGACGAACCTGCTAGCAGCATTGAAAAGGCATCGAGCTGACCAAGCTGGAGGTTTGAATTGGTAAAAACGAGGGATGCGTGCAGGGTGGCAACGTATAAAACCATTGGAGATCAAGTGAGTACTAGTGGCAAATAGACGCGTGCATTATGATCGGGGATTATTGAGTGCAGCACTCAAGTGATTGATCGCTAGTTTTAATTGTACCTGAATTCCTCCTTCCTACCCGTCAAAAGAAGATTTTCAGCGACCATTTTTGGGTTCTGAGTTTCATCTTGGACATCGCTTTTGGGTGGAATGATGTGGTGCGCGCCGATGTGACGCATGAAAATGGGCACCTTTGTGGATACATTTTCGAATATCCCGAATTGAAACACCTCGTTTTGGTGAAGGTCCTATTTTCACGCTTTAGTGACGCGCTTTGTAAATAGACCAACTTGTCGAACTATTTTTAGGCAGCCGTGTGCTGACGATCAGTCATCGACTGCTTGCGTTTTGGCAAAAAGGGCAGTACAAAGAGTGTGGTACAATTCTTCACGGCTTTCGACCAATCTTCCGTGCACAAATTTAACACTCTGCACAGCTTCGCAAAACCTATTCGAGGCTGAATAGCCTTGTTTGTAATTTGGGATTCACCGTCGTGTAAAGTTCGCGTGCACGTAAAGCACACGTAACTAAAATACCGTTAATTTACAGCTGAATGACGAAAATAGCAACGACCGGCCAAAAAGCCCCCCTAAAATGCTAGCCGTCCGTCGCTTGCTGCTCACGCGGCCCTCGCTCTGCGGTCGATCTTTTGCCTCAAGCGTGACGCAAGTCATCGAGACGATCGATGATTTCCGCCAAGCGCATCGTGCGCTACCTTCTAGCGCCACGTTAGGTCTTGTTCCGACCATGGGGGTACGTTGTTACAACTGTTGTTTCAACCGTTGTTTTTACACCGCTAAACAGCATCAACACCACTTGTCGCTCTATCTCTATTTTCGAATAGGGTCTTCACGATGGACACATGGCGTTAATCAAGCAAGCGCGCCGCTTGTGTGACTTTGTGGCCGTCAGTATCTTCGTCAACCCGACCCAATTCGGACCAAAAGAAGACTATTCCAAGTACCCGCGTACGTTTGATCAAGACATGGCTCGACTACGGCAAGAAAACGTGGACTTTGTGTTCTGCCCGTCGGTTCATGAAATGTACCTGCCCCACCACCGGTGTTACGTCGAGCCAGAGGGATTTGACGACTTGGTCGAGGGCCAATGCCGTCAAGGCCACTTTCGAGGTGTCGCGACCGTAGTCACCAAGTTGTTTAACATTGTGCAGCCCACGCACGCGTTTTTCGGACAAAAAGATGCTGCGCAGGTCGTGCTTATCAAGCGAATGGTCTCAGACTTGAACATTCCCGTAGAAATTGGCATTGTGCCAATTGCACGAGAACCAAACGGACTCGCGCTCTCGACTCGCAACCAGTACTTGGATCCTGTGGAGCACGAAGCAGCTGGTGTACTGCACCGTGGACTTGTACGTGCGCGGAACTTGTTCGAGGCAGCAAAAAAAGAGGGGAAGACGACAGTTGATGCGAACGTGCTGCGTGCCGTTGTTCGTGAAGCGTATGAGCGTGAACCGCTCGTGACCGCCGTTGACTATGTGTCCGTGGGGTCCAAAGAGACGATTCAAGAGGTGGCTGAAGTTGATACAGACGAGGGAGCCGTTATTTCCGTCGCTGCCAAAGTCGGAAACTGCCGTCTGATCGATAACATCGTGCTTTAGAACAATGTGACGCTCGCTCTGCTTTGACTGGACACGGAATACCCACTGTTTTTGCTTTTACTTTTGCACGTAGTGATGAGACGGCGTCATGTATATCGCTTCTTTGCAGTCTGAGTCGCTCCGGAGACGCCGATCGACCGTTTGCGACCAGCAGTCGTGGCATCGGAACTCGTGTGACTCAACACGTCCGAATCCCACGCGTCCCAATCAATATCGTTGAGACCATCGCCGCCATCAATCACGGCAGTATTTGCACCTGTATTGGGTCGAGTAGATGGCACCGTCGTCGTCGTCGTCGTGCCATTCCTCCTTCCCTGGAAAAATGGGGACGACTTGGAGACCGGAGGCGCTTCAACAATTTCGACTTCGGAGTCCATTGCGTCAAGGCTGTCCAGCACGCTGCTTGAACACGAAGATGGCGCAGGAGTTGGTACCAGGTTGTGCTATGGCAACAGGCATCGATCGTAAATTAAACTCGCAAGCAGGCATAGCACAAATAGAATATACAAACGTGACCAAACCTTTTCGAGATGGTGCTTGACGATGCCGATGATTGCTTCACCATACTTTTTCACGCGAATGCGTCCGACACCGTCAATTTTCAGAAGCTCCGCATTCGACAAGGGAACTGAATTCGCGATTGCACCAATGCCTGCGGTTGTGAGAATATGGTACGGCATGACGTTCTCGCTATCGCACACGCTTGCACGCCAATCCTTGAGCATCTGGGCAAGTGTTTCAACGTGCTTTTCGGGGATTCTGTATTCAAGTAAGATGGTCGGTTAGGCAGTCTACACGCAGAGTATGAAAAACGAACAAATAACACACCTTCTTGAAGACGTGCTCTCTGGAATAAGAGAATACTGTGTCGTAGTCGACGTTGGCGCAACGACCGTCACCACATCATCATCATAGTCATCGCTAAGCTCTTCAACAGCGTCCTTCGCACTCGCTTTTCTCTTCTTAGTAATCGCCTTCCACGTTTTATCGGTTGCGTTTGCTTTTTTCGAAGCAGTTTTCTTTGGCTCCTTTTTCTTGGAGACCTTACTCTGTAGAGTACCGTCTCCGACAGAAGCATGCGACTGATACTTTGTCTTGCATACAATGCGAACTCGTTCACCACGATGAAGTCGATTTGCGTTGATTCCAAGAGATACGAAGGTTGTCGTAAAGCCTTTTGCGTTAGTTTGATCCTGTAGCAGATAGAAATGTTAAATAATTGCATGCTTTGTCCCGAACAATAGAAAAACGTAAGCTTACCACTTCACGCAAGTATTGCCGCAGTATCATGTGGTATAATATCCGCTCCACCTCACTACGAGAGTAGCGTCCCTTGCCTTTACCAAACCCTCTGAGCTGTGAGAACTGGTCTTGCTTCCACTCTCTACCCTTTACTACCAGGCCAAGAAATATTTGAGCGACTTGCACTAGTGTCGCGGGATCTCGAGTTTCCTGGAGGGTTTTGACTGTTTAACAAGCGACAATAATGAGAACATAAACCTTTTTACACATCTCAAGAATCAGTACAATCATACTCATCTCGGCCAGCAGAATGCAGTCCTCAGTTACGTCAGACTTCTCAAACGTCATTCCCAAAGCCTTGTTTTTGCAATTATCGCAAGTGCCATGACATTGCTCGCTCGAAAAATGTTCGCCAAAATATTCGAGAAGAGATGTCCGTCGGCATTCAACTTGGTTCTCGCAAAATTCTGTCATACGGCGAAGGTTCTGCAGATGCACATTTCGATGTTGCATGTTTTCGCGATCCTTTGTGATTAGCTTGCGTCGTCGAGTCTAGTTTGCACAAATATGAGGGACGTTAGTGAAGATACTGAAAGCTATTAAAGGGAAACACCAATCATACCAAATCCAAAAAGGAGTAGTAGAGAATACAATTTGCCTTTTCGCCGTCTCTCCCTGCTCGTCCAGCTTCCTGTAATAACACATATGAAACCAAAGACATTCAATTACCGTAGACACGAAATTGTAGCAAAGCTCGTACCTGGTAGTAGTGCGTTACGGACTGAGGGATTGTGTGGTGAATAACGTAGCGCACATCTGGTTTATTGATCCCCATTCCAAAAGCTATCGTAGCACAAATAAGCTTGATTTTGCCTTTGCTCCATTCGTGATGGCGAAACGCACGATCGTCTGGTTCCAGTCCTGCATGGTAAAACGAGATCTGGCTGGCTTTTCGCGTGTTCTCAAACCCCAAGGCTTTTATCAGCTTCTCTGCTGTCTGTTCGCAATCCTTTTTCGATAGACTGTTTGAACAAACGATACAAGCAGATTGGTCCACAACAATACGTCACAGCAATTCTAAATCGTGGCTGCAGACGTACCAATAGATAATTCCAGAATCGTCGATATGTTTCCGAACGTAATCGGCAATCTCACTCATGAACTTGGGAGTCTTCTTGCGTACGTCATATGTCAAATTTGGTCTGCCATTGTTGCATGTTTATGGTTAGAAAGGTAATGTGTCATCCGCATATCGCATGAGCTTACCGATTAAAACTTGAACGAGTGACGAACGGATTTCTCAGCTTCAAATTCTTGACGATATCTGCCTCAGTTTGTGTGTTTGCTGTAGCTGTCAACGCCATGATAGGTACCTGATAATCCACATACGCAAGTTATGCGTGCCTTCTATTACAAACAAGATCCAACACAATAACCACTCACCGACGGAAACTTGGATCGTAACGTTCCTAAATTCATATAGTCCTTCCGAAAATCGTGACCCCACTGACTAATGCAGTGTGCCTCGTCAATCACAAACCGGGCCAAGAGGCCACGTTTCTCAAGCGACTCAAACAAGTTGTTGAGCATGTTGCTCGAAGCAATTTTCTCAGGAGTAACATACAGCATCTTGATCGTAATGCGACTCGAAAAAAGCTGCGAGATAATTGGTCGTTGCACACTGTCGTAGTCTTGGTCACCATTCAAATTTGCCACACCTACATCTAGAGCCTCCAATTGTTGAACTTGGTCTTGAATCAGCGATACCAAAGGAGACACGACGATGGTAACGCCGTCATTGATGCAAGCAGGCAATTGGAAGCAAAGACTTTTGCCACCTCCTGTTGGCATTAGAACAAACACATCTCGGCCGCTGAACGCCTCCATAACTGTCCGTTCCTGAGCAGGTCGAAACGCGTTGTGGCCAAAAATGTCGCGGAGCACTCGCTTAGCCCGCTGCATGTTGGAGGTCACAACTGGATCGCTGGAAACACAAGGCTGCTCTGCTACGACAGGGCAAGTCCGCGTCTCCCCATCACCATAACGCTCTTTGTTATTTCCGGATTCACCGTCCGCCCAAGAGTTGAATCCACACGTACTGCAACGGTAATACAACCGGTTAGTATTCGATCCGTGCTGCACCCGGGCTTCCACAGTCGACATGCCACATGAGCACGTTGGAGTTTTGCGTAATGCGTCAGCTCCACTGTCGTACGTATGCGAAATCGGCACACTCAGAGGCAAAGTTTGCGCCGAAGACACACTTTGACTGTATGTCGACGCTTTTGCCGCACCTTTGCACTCTCGGTACCGCTTGCTCAATTGCTCCAACTTTCGTTCCAGCTCTACACGACGTTGCTGCATATAATCTGGCACGTCTCCTTCCAGAGAAGCGTCGTCGCATTCCTCGCGAGCTTTGCGAAGACACTCGCGCGTTCGTTTGATCGACTCATGCAGGTCGTCAGCCACTGCAGCAGTAGCAGACTCCTGAGACACAGCGGCCGGCATAGCAGAACAAGGTGGCGTCAAGTTCTCATCTGATGTTACTGAAACAACTCGATGAGTTCGTTCTTGTGCGCGCTGGTGATTTGCAACCAGCACGTCCACGTCCACATCCTCAAATAAACGATCCACGTCGTCATCATCTATCGCTGTGTACGATATCTGCTGCACCCCAGCGCTGTCTCCACGTCTCTCACGTCCACTTTCACAATATCTTGCCTTTGCTTGACCGGCTGTAGCGACCGACGGCGCTGTTGCCATCGGTTGCGTGAGATCCACAACAGAATTCACTACAGCAGCAGAAGCAGGCTGGAAGCCATCACCTGCTTCAAGCTTACCACGATCTGTGCTAAAAGACCCAGCATTATGACTCGTCCGTTTGCCCCCAGATTTTAGAACATGGCCAGCATTTATAACAGGAATCGTCCCGAGGGCGATCCGTGGCGTCGGAACCACCGTGAGCTTCGTCGATGCCTTCGATCTCGCCCGTAGAGCTTGGAACGTCTGCAGTGCATCACGTCCTCGTTGAATCGTTGCCAGCCAATTTTCCTTATCAGCAACTTGGTCGTCGGGGCTGCAAAAACACAAAATAACATAAAACAGTACATTTACCCTCACGCAGTACAATGGCTACATTCGTGCAACGTGTTGCGTTGACATCCAATCGACACGGCCGGAGCATTAATGGTAAGTTCAGTAGTACACCTGTCAACACGTACGGCTGTTTGTGAGCTGCTCGACTGTCCAGATACGCGCCAATGACGTGGGAATTGAGACATTGTTGCAGTACGTTCTTGGGCGCCTATAGCTCATCATGAACACAAGCACACAACGAGGTGTTAGAGCCACAGGATAGAGTGATTGTACGGACATCAGGAGTGCATGGACATTCGCTACCTGCTCGGCCCACGCGAGCTGCTCCTTCAGGTTGTTCTGCAGTGCGGCGTCAGTGCGCGCTTCAGTGCGCATTGTTATCAATGCGGAATAGGAGTGAAGGTCATGTGCAACCTCGGTGGTGCGATTTGTCACCTGTTTTCGTTTGGTGTGCTGTGAGCATTAAATTAGGTAGGAAGGGGGGGAACAAAATGTATGATTTAGCGAGCGACGGTAGAGCACTGATTTTGTAAGATTTTCTGACTGATGGGGACATTTGAAGTAAAAATAAAGACGATACGGGCTGGTAGTGTAGTAACGTGAAAGAGAGGAGAAGGGAGATGATGTTATGGATTCGTAAAATTCTGGACCACTTGTAGGTCGACAAAAGTGAACGCTGATCTATGCGTTAATGTTAGTGGGACGTTCATGTGCAGCACGTGAAAAAAAGCAGAGTCATGAGTTCTTCCATGTACTGTCGTATGCCAAAAGTCCTGGTTTGCTTTTCAGCAAGACCTCATGTCCGCTGGAACGTTCGAGATACCGATTGTGTAGCAGTCGAGGAATAACACGAGATAGTTGCAGTTGGATTGATCGTGAGTTAGGAGTGAACTTACCGTTCGATTGAAATTGCTTAAACGTGAGTCCGACTGCGTCCGATGTCGAATGTGTCACGACGTGAGCAATCTTTCAAGCCTATGTTTTGATATTATTCCAGGGGTCTGCTGTCGCTCATGATCCGATACAATGGTCGTATGAGCTGGTTGCGCTGATTGTCGTACAACTGATCGTGTCCATCCCCACATGTTTAATTTTGCAACAGAATTTGCAGAACGTTTGGACAAAGACCACAGCTGTTACGTGAAGTCGAGTCCGAAGTCGAGACTGAACTTCGGTAATTTTGTTGGGAACAGCCACTTACTGCAAGAAAGAGAGAGAGAGAGAGGTGCATCTAAACGTCACTCGAATGTACCAGAATACGAAGTCAAAGCTGTCTCCTGAGTGTACCAGTGCACCACCACATGGACTCAAGCGAGTGGCAGACTGCCCAGTGCCTAAACAATTGTCAATTTTGTGTACCAAAATTTCTCTACAAATGAAGAGATGATGCATTCTTCGATCCGACACTTTCTTCCTGAATACACCGTTCGACTAACTGACGTTATCTAGAGTGAAAGAGTGCTCTGGTTGAAGTCTGCGTTTGACTTGATTGCGAGCCCGAAGGGTGAAGCTATTCGTGACTGTGCGCAAGGTCGCATGCCGAACTTTTAGATCGTACTTATCTTTGTGTGTGTCTCTCTGGGTGTGTCTCTCAGTTTGTGTGTGTCTGTCTGTTCGTGGGTGTCTGTAAATAACGCGGTTCGGCGTACCTTACACGTACTAAGTGTGATCAAGCCTGTTCCCTTTCCATCGAAAACGGTTCATTCAAAGTCACTCTTTGGCTAGGTCACGATTGTGACGCACGCGCGTGATTGGCTTAGAATCGATTAAAAGCTAGACATGATCACAGAAGCAAATGCTGGACGCTGAGAAGCAAACGCACTACCGCGTCACGTCAACACCACCAACATAAAATATCCGCTCGACCACAGCTTTTATCCCTCCGCTTTTGTCACGCCATGCAAATTAATCTAATTTACCGAAAAACAAGCCTAAATCCAAACACCCGTTGCCTCGCCGTTTCGTCGACGTTTCCCTTGACCCCCACCGACCTTCACTCTCGTTTCCCCTCCATTCCGCACTCACCGCGGCGCCTCACAACGCAGTCCGACAATGCGCGCTCTCGACGTTGCCGCCGCGCTCACGCTCGCGCTCCTCTGCCACTCGACGACCGCGCTCCTACGCGTCCCGCTCACCGCCACGCCGCAGCAACGCAGCGGCCGCGACCTCCTGCAGTTCCACACGCCGCCACGTCCCGACGTCGATAACAAGGACGACGTTGTCCGCGCGCTCAGCCATCTCTCCACGCTACAGCACGACGACAAGAGCAAGCCTAACCGCACCGACGCGCACCGACGAGACGCGGAAGCGCTGCAGCATCTGCTGCAAACGCATCACCATCAGCTCGACTTGGAAGCAAAGGGCCACGTCCCGCTCGAGAACTTTATGGAGTTTCAGTTCTACGGACCACTGACGATCGGCACGCCGCCGCAAGAGCTTTTTGTGTGTTTTGATACAGGCTCGAGTGACTTGTGGGTCCCAGGGACGACGTGCGCCGCCTGCGCGGGCGACCGGCGCTTTGATCACGCCATCTCGAGCACGTACTCGGACAATGAGGCAACGAGACGACGGCGGGCGTTTGCCGTGCAGTACGGCAGCGGCAAAGTGAGCGGCCACTTTGGCCGTGACGTTGTGCGGCTCGCGCAGTTTCACGTGCACGACACGAGCGTGGGGATTGTCACGGTGGAAGAAGAATCGATGGCGAAAATGCGCGCGGACGGGCTCTTGGGTTTGGCGTTCGACGGCCTCTCGACGTTTTCCCATCCGCCGCTGTTTTTCATATTGCTGGAGCAGTACCTGGAACTGGACGCCGTGTTTGCGTTTTACTTGAGTCCAAACCCGAACACGAGCGGCTCGGAGCTGCATCTGGGCGGCTACGACACGGAGTTGATGGAGGCGCTCGACGCGACGTGGCAAGTGACGGACGTCTTGCCGCAGTTTGGCCAATGGACGTTCTGGCGGATCGCGCTCCACAGCGTGACGGTCGGACACCACGAGAATGCGTGTGCACGGGGCTGTGTGGCGTTTGTCGACTCGGGCACGTCACTCATTGGTATCCCTGGAACTCTGTACTTGAACTTTCTCTATGAAGTCGCGACGTTTGCGCAGAATCGAGGGTGCTACTGTGGCTTTGTGCAGTATGGTTTTCAGTGCTTTTTATGCACGCCCCAAGACTTTCCGCCGCTGCGTATTGGTGTCGGCAATCGTCACTTTTATGTACTGGAAGGAGCGGATTACACGTTGTGTGTGGGCGTCACGTGTATTGTACTGGTGCAGCCAAGTGGCCAGGAAATGTGGGTGCTCGGTGACGTGTTTATGAAGAAATTCTACTCGATGTACGATGTCGAGAAGAAGCAAGTGGGCTTTGCTTGTCCAGCGAACTCGACGCTGTGCGGCATCGACACTCGAGACAACATGGTGAACAGCAACGATGACCTGCCGTCGTCGCAGCAATCTTCGCCGTTTTTCGAGAACAGCTTCAACATGTACGCCATGGACTCACATGCTGTCTTGGTGCTGTTCTTGTCGGGTCTATCGCTCCTTGGCTCGGGCTTTGTTGTGTCGTCGTTTGTGCAGTACCCCGTTCTGCACAGCTTCCGCTCATTCTCGCTGTTCTTCTGGCTCTCTGTATGTACACTGGGCTACAACGTCACGCTGTGGATTGCTGGGGTATGGCGTGCACACCAGACGCGCGTATTTTTCTGTGCACTGCTCAAGAGCACGCAGCAGTTCTTGGGTACCGCCATCTTGTTCCTCAGTGCTGTCATTGGTCTGGAACTCATTCGCGCAGTACGCTGGACTCGTTCTAGCACGGTGGAGTTCAAAGTTGCGTACCACGTTGTCGTTTGGTGTGTTGCAGCCTTCACAGGAGCATTTTCGTTGTTCACGGGTGTGATCGGCTTCCTGCCAGATGGCGCTGGCCCTTGCCGAGCTTGCTTTCTAGGCCACAGTCCGACGTGGGCTCGCGTCCTGTTGTTTTATCTACCAGCAACGGCAGCGCTTTCATTTGCCGGAACGGCAGTGTACCTTGTGGCCTCCGGTCCATCTGCACAGTCACTCCCGCCTCAAGCGGAAGGCGTACGTCGTAGAAGTGGACAATTGCTGTCCAGCTGCGCCGCAACCGTTGTCGCCTTCCTCCTTCCAACCCTGTTCGGCTGGCTACACGCCTTTGGTGCAGACTGGGTCACGTCCGGCTTTTTCCTCTACGTTGCCGAGCTGTGCTTTTACTCGCTAGGCCTGTTCAATGCGCTCTCGTGGGCGTTTAACCCGTCGTATCGCGCCGCTCGGTACCGTGGTAACAATGCTACGGGAGGCGAAGGAATGCGTTTGGTGGGACCGAATTAGTGCACTGATTGGATGCCGTTGTGTTGATCAGATCGGTAAACATGTTTTCAAGCAAAATATAATCAGACTTTTGCACTTTCGATACGCAGCCAAGCACCCACTTCCGCTCTCAATTGGTCGGGAAGGCGTCCAGCGCCCCATAGAAGTCCCAGAAGTCGTCGCCAAGCAGCTCAAGATTGTCGTCCTCAAGCCAGCTCGCCTGCTGACAAATCAAGTTGTCCTCAACGACGTAGTCGATGTGGTCATTGTGACGTACGGGAAGGTGGCCGCAACCAGGTCGATGGGTGTCCTTGGGCAACGTGCACTTGACTGAATTGGTGGCTGCTGCATTGGTCTCAGTATTCGCAGAAGCTCGCGGCATCACGCCGAGTCTCTTCACGCTGTCTTGACAAACGAGGTGGTTTTGCACCACATAGTCGCGGTGGTTCCCGTGTTGAATGGATAAATGGCCACACGTCCGGTTGTGCCGTGAATAGTCCAGCAAAGAAGACATTGGCATTGACAAGCATGTCTTGTCGGAAGCAGTTTTGACTGGTGCGACAGATGCGGCAGGGCGAGCAGCGTCGGCCTGAGTGTCCGCAGAGCTCGTGCTCCGGTCAAGTAAACCATTGTCCCCAAAGTTAGCGAAAGTCGCTTGCGAGGTCGCTCGAGTACTGGACAGCGACGAGATACCACTTGGGGCTACGTCAGGAGGCGAGCTGGATAGCAGTTTGTTCGGATTCATGATCGACTCGTCGGCGTTCGACGCGAGGAAAGACAAACTCGTTTCTGAGTCTGCGTGATCCACTGACGAGTTACCAAGCGATCGACACAGCGTCAAATCGGTCAGAGATGCGTTCGTGTACGCGATTCCATTTGCCGCATTCGTATTCACGGCTGGTGCATCATCAGATGCGAACGCGCTGCTGTCGGCTGAAGCTGCCGCCCCCGACGAAAATGTCGCTGTGAACAGCGGGTCCACCACAGTCGGTGCATGGACCATCTTTGATCCAGCAGAGGCTCGAGTGCCTTCCGGTCGAGGAGGCCTCAGCTCGAGATGCGCGGGACAGCAACTCGTTCCGATCGTTGTTGAAGGACAGTGCGATGAGAACGCGTCGAGCGAGTACGGACGTGAGAGATCTAGCGTCTCCTGTGACAACAAGAACGCATCCAACGAAGATAGCGCAGCCAAACACGCTGGTGGCGAGTGGATGTGGTTCTCTGGGCACTTGAGTTCGTAGCGCAGCGGTCTCGTCGGCGTATCCAAGCACACTGTAGTAGCTAGTGTTTTGCGGCGGCCTGCAAGAAACGTGCCTGTGGTCGAGATGGGCATCTTCATAGCTGCTGATGCTTCAGCTACCAGCACATCGGCTGACAGCGCTGCACTCGTGGATGTAGCGCCGCCCACGAACGGCGTCGCCACGTCGCTTGGACAGTCGCACCGCTTGTCACGGGCCGAAGCATCAGCTTGACACGGCGACAATTTGCGCTTCTTGGTCTTGGCTTTCCCAGGAGCGCCACTGGCTTGGTCGTCGTGAAGTCGCTGGTGCTTGTGGAGATCAAACTTGCGAGCGAAACTGCGATCACAGCCAGGAAAAGCGCATGCATAGGGCTTTCTGCCTCTACAGACGAAAGGAAAGAGAAGGTATCGTCAGCCACGAGGTCAATCACTCCATTAACATACAACGGCAGCAGAGAAGACGAAGAAAAAACGACAAACAAGGACAACAACAGGCTCATGAAAATACCGTACGTGTGCGTGCGCTCATGGCTCAGTAGATCGGATCGCCGGGCAAAGCATTTGCCACACACTTGGTATTTACAGCGGTACGGCTTCTCCCCCGTGTGGACTCGATAGTGCACTTCCATGTCTGCTTTGCGCAGGAATTTCTTGTTGCAGAACTTGCAGGCGAACTTCTTGTCGCCCTTGTGGATGTTGACGTGCCGCTTGAGGTTCCCTTTGAGCTGGAACTCGCGCCCACAGCCTGGGAACGTGCACCGGAAGATGTTCTTGTCACGCGTGGCATCACGACAGACTCGGGGAGCTGGAGGCGGATACGAAGTGCGACCGTGACTGGTGCTTTCTCCCTTGATTGGGAACGAGGCGTTCACTTTCGCACTGACGACATGTGGCATGCGATCCATGGCAGCTACAGAGTGATGAGTCTCTTAACAATTGCGTCCCTGGTAGAGGAATTGACGAGTGGCCTTTTCCTACGTACCGAACTCGTGAACCAGTCGCTGTGGAGTCTGCTTGTCCTATGGATCAGCCGCCGTCGGACAAAAAGGGACAAGAGACCAGGCGATTGAACTGAATGGTACGGTCGCCGTACAGCGAAAGGAGAAAAAAAGGAATCAGGTACGAGGCTCTTTTGAGGTTTGTATGGGTTATTGAAAACGGGGAGACAACGGTAAGTTGGAAACTCCTGCGACGGTCACAAATAAGGGAGTCTCTGCTAACGTATGAGAGTGTGTGCACCCACTCGACTCGTCAATCTTAGTCGCAGAACATGATGGTTTTCTCGCCGTCGTTAGCGGGTTAGAAATGTGTCTACAATCGGGACAAAGTCATCATTGTCATCTGTCTGATCCGATTTAATCGTGAGCTTTGCATGGGCTCCTCCATGTGAACAAGGTGGTACTGCAAGTCTGGAGTCTGACAGACGCGCGGCGTCCGCGCGTATGCGAACAGGTTAAAGCATGAACGAGCTCGCAATTCACGGAACAGTTTCAAGAAAGCAGGTCTCCTCGCAGACGGTCAGGTGTCTGGTGATTTGCCGTGTCAATGAATACTTCCGTCTCGTCCCGAGCACAAAGATAGTCTGTAGTTGGGGCTCCGTCCTGCACAGGTCGGGACGGGATTGGCCTATCCCGCGTCCTGTCCTACGCAGGACGGGATGGGACGCAGATACTGCGGGACGAGATTATTGAACAGTTTACGCTACATATTTGTAACGACCACATCTGCAGACACTTGATCGCCCCTCTGCGCACTGATGGTACTTAAGAATGAGGATCTAAATTCATCGGTAAAATTCTTCTTAGTGTGATCAATGCTTACCTGCTACAGTAAGAGTAGAAGCTCCATGCCTTATCCACTCGATTTTAATCGGTGCTGGTGGTGGCAGACTCATGTAAGAAGGGTTCTTTTACACGTGATGGCAACAAAATGCTAGTGTTTACCACATGCGTCAACATTAATGCAGTAGATTCTTAGTGAGTAGCAACGTCTTCAAGCATGATCTTGACAAAACTTTTTAAGCTATTGCGATTGCTCATAGGCGACTTTGACGTTTTGTGGAATAGTCCAACCTCTTGACGAGGCTTTTGATCAATCGACTTACTCCTAAACGAAAGCCATCTTCACCTTAAATTGAAGTTGTGAGGCCTCAATAGGTTAAGGACGTGTATTGAATCGTCGCTAGGGACAATCAAATTCTCTTTACAAGCATTTATAATGCCTGCATACACGCCTTGGCAGAAAGGTCGAATAATGACAATGAATGCTGAATTTACGATGAATACATGTCAAATAGATGACGCTTTCATTTTACGCTCTCTTGGTTCCCAAAAAAAAAATATTATTCTCGTCGTAGAAAATTAATAGAGTCTTGATATAATACTAAGATAATTATTGAATTCGGGATGTGCAGGACGCGCGGGACGGGATATAGGATCCCGCGAAATGGGAAGTTGCGGGACGGATCCCTGATCTACTGGATTCCAACAGATAAAGTCGATGACTTTCAAGTTGAAGGATATCAAATCCACCGAAACTGGACGGGAAGTAATACAGGAAAGGTATGCGAGATCGTGAATTGAAACTGTGACTGTCGACTTGCCCAGAGCTTTGCCGTTGTCATCCGGGTGGCGTGCAATAAGCGGGACTTGTACCATCGATTAGATGATGAAACCTTGCCGGGTTTGCGCAAACTTCAGCGGTGTTTTGAACCACAGCAGCGATAAAGAACAGCTTCTGCTGTACGAAATACATTTGCAAACGCAGGTTTCAGTGAATGATTTTAGTCAACGCTCGGTCACCAACGGCGCTTAGGACGTGATTTTATGCAGTATCAAGCTCTTCACTTGTCAGTCTTTACGTGAAGGAGGGTGTCCGAGCTTGGCATATTCGAAGATAAGGATTGGGTGACGGGATAGGCTAAATTTTACAAAGGGCCGGACGTCAGCAAGGCTTGCCGACAGAAATATCATGATACATTTGAGGCAGTAGCTATCAGACTAGAAGAAGAAATAGTCCGATACGGGTACGATCTGCAGTCGTGTATCTTCAGTACAGCATGACTGCCTGGTTCCCAAGCGCCACAAACAGGGTCCTGTTTTCATTTACGAAGATTGTTGAGTACAATATGGTATCTGTTCAAGCCAGCGAATAAGCCAATGCCCGCTTAGCCCAGCCCGGGCCCACACGTCTTGTGGCTGCTAGCTAAATCATCGATTCGCTTCAGAGTGTAGGTCAATCAGTCAAAGGAATTCTTACGAATTCTCGCCGCCGTCCTCCGTTGGGGTTCGACAGGTCGTTAAAAGGTGGGGCGAAATAGTCGGAACAAAGCACGCGGTCGCAACTCGTCAAGAATGAGAGAAGTGACATCCAAAAGAGACACAATCTCTTCGTAAAAAACACCAGCTCTCACCCGAGGCCACGGCAGGATGCAAAAACTTGACAAAAAAGAGCATCGGGTATCTAAAGGAGCCCCTATTGCATTTTCTGAAATGATGCGTATGTTTTTTGCGTCCCCTGTTTTTAATTATTAGAGGACTAGTTACGTAATGTGGGTGTCAGTTGCACCGTGCGACGACCCCGAGCGCTTTGAAGAATCATAAGACGCTATTTTAAGCGATAAGCGCCATTTGCGCGACACCATGCTTGAATCCACCCTGATTCCATACAGCGGGCGGCGCAGCATGGAATCAGGATCAATGAGAGGACCGAGCCATGAATGCATTTAGAATTCTTCGTGTTCCAACTTCTCGTTATGCGCTTGCACCCAAGCCCGACAGTCTCTGATAGCTTCTCTAGCAGTGCGTGGATCCCCCCAGGCTTGATAAAGAGCGGAATTCAATCGTCTTTTTCATTTGTAAGTCGCGCTATGCTTTTGGCCAACGCTTCAATTCCAAGAAGCTCACCAATGGATTTCCCCCTCGCTTCATGGTCGCTAGCTTCGTCTGCTGTCAACGATTGATTGGGAAGGACGTTGCTAGCGGACTCGACGGCATCATGACTAGAGGTCAGGGAAATGATCGAGTTCGATGGTTCCAGAGCTTTGACGGTTATACTCGAAGCAGCGGCAGAGGACATGCTGATTAAACAATCGACGCGCATGTTGAAGTCTCAATTGGGTGGTGGTGGTGACCAGGAGAATCTCGAGATGACGGAAATGGAGCCGAGAGAGCTGGCAAAAGACCATTTGAGAGCCAGAGAGAGGTCTACACAGCTTTATCTGAAATAATGTGTCGCTATCGGTCGCACGCTATCAGCATTTTACACGCTCGTGGAAGATCTGTGTATGATTTTGCAACTCTTTGCATGTCATCGAAGCGACTGCAACGTCAATATCGAACCCGTAATGCACGTCTGGTCTCCATTTACTTATTCCTTCTAGGACTTGGCTCCGAACGTTATTACACACAAATCGGGTCATTACCCTGTCGTTTTAAATTGAAAGGTATCATTTACGTTTCCAATACCGTTGTTTGTGCTACGCACCGGCGATGCAAAGGCTTGCGGACTGAGATGCGAATTTGCGTAAACATTCGCCGAACGTGTCATGAGCATGAGTATGTACATACGGACTATAAGCAGTATTTACAGCAAACATACCGCATTTAAAGTGTGTGTTAGGTCACTTTGGCGCAGCCATGCGTTGCCAGCTAATCTGCAGTGTACACTATTCACGTCGACGACATTTCTTATGCATGCATGATGGCTAAAAGCGTGCCTGCCGCGCAGATCGTCGTGTGGAAAACTACTCGCGCTTATATTCACTCGGCCCAGTAGCTGCCGTGCTTGATATCGGCTATATTCAATGCGGTGGTAATGCTATAGTGGGTTGAACCAATACATGGAGGAGCACGGTGGGATGGCGTATCTCAATGTATTTGCATGTACGAACTTCGACTTCAATGTAGTGGATTTACACAGCTCTTAGTTAGGGGAAGACTTTTGACTCTGGAAGTCACTCAGTTCTACTGAGTTAAGTGCATGTGAATTTAAAGAGTCTCAAATTATTAAAACTAGTCAACAAAGACTCTTATAGTCTTTACGCGCGTAGAGCTTCTAGCCCTGGTTCCAGCAACTAATAACGATTCCTAGGAATCGCCCGCACGAGGTGCTCTAGAGTCTACGCCACAAGATGGCAATGACTCTCTGTGATCTGCCGACGTCTAAAGTAGACACGTGGCAACAAACGATCAAAAGGAGAACTGAGCATTTTTTTAGTTTTATTTGTAATAAACCTCATTCAACTACCGTATACCAAGGTTAAACTGATTTGCATTGCAAACTTCAGTCCATTACACAGATTGACTGATGCTACATCAAACTGTCATCAGTGGATGACTGAGGTTGTCAACCACATCAAATTTCACAGATAAAGCATTCGAATGTATATCACAGATACAAAGTATATCCCGTTAAACGATAACGGACGTGGTGGCCCCATTACATTCAATCTGCCACTAGCAGTTTAGTACTTTGCATGTTTCGTTAAAAAAGCTTAACCTGCAAGTCATATGACCGTCATGAGCTTCAAAAGTGTTGCGGCTGAATGCATGGGCTTCGATGTAAATCTTTTAGTACATGATTATTGAATCCGGTAGCTCGACAACCTTGTGACGACCCTTACAAGTTTTTGTCGAATGAAGCGCATTTCACGAGAAGCTAGTCGGTATTGTTATTTATCGGTGCGATAGGTTGCGGTTGCACTGCCAGATTGGATCTCCAGCAATATCGAAGACCTCTAGATTTTGTGCTTTGACCAGAATATTTAAACAAGCTTATAATTTGACCAGCACATGTACATGTATTTGCAAAACTGCTATCAACATAACGCTGTGCTATGATCATTAGGGAATTGGCGTCATTGGGATTTTGAGTTGATAAACATGGGGCACGTAAGACGACTAGTAGTGTATGTTCGAGAAATTTTTGTACAAGCTGCGTGTTTGGTGCTCGAGCAATTACTCGTACCATAACTCGTCTTCGTATGCTGCTGTGTTCAATGTCAAACTCGTAACGATGATTCGGGAAAAGAATTTAGAGTGTTTTGTGTGTGTACACGCCACTGTCATCGGGTCAAGCAACTGCGTCATACACGGCCCGTTTACAATTAAACCTGTTTTGAGCATATAAGAACGATGTCACCAAGCATAAAACGTAAACGCTCACTTGAGTGCGCTCCGATCAGTTTTGTGCGCTTTATTCAAATTTGCCGATCAAAATATGACTAAAGTATTTCTAAGCGCTTGTAGGCCAGAATGACCACAAGTCATCTCCAGAGAAGCAACGCCAATTCATAAAAAACACGCCAAGTAATGCCACCAATGCTGATAAAGAAGGAGAGGAGCATCTTGATGAGTGGATGAAGGGCACGCAATTCAAACGTCACGCCTTCGACCAGGCTCGACGTGTTGCACAGAGCCAGCGTGATGGCGTCACGTCTTCAGTGTGAACCAATCGCAATTCTGGAAAGGCGGTACTCGCGTTTCATGAGGCGTCACCCACAAGTGGCGCACAGAGAGGCGCAGATGATCACGAGAATTTGCAACGAGTGCTCCATGGACCACCTCTCTATCTAATTTGACACTCTCCTGAGATCGTCATAGAAGCATTATAAGATGCGAGGTGAGTGTACAAAATGGATGAGACGAGCTTTCTTCTCGAACAAAGAGCGACAAGATGCGCCTTGTAGGGGGGTCACCAAAAGTTTTGTCCAAATTCTTTTCTGCATGCATTTTGTTGCAGAGAAACTTAAGACTGTTATGGAAATGGCCATGCCGCAGATGGGGTACGCATTAAAAGCATCTCCGTAATAATAGAGTGGTCAGGCCGATGCATACAAAAGATGAAGTGGCACAACTTTTCACGGTCAACAATGGCATACAAAGGATGGTCACCAATGTGAACAATGTCAAACGTGGAGTTGAGTAGATACATGTCAAGAGCGTGAGTGTCGTCTGGTAACATGACAAAACTACTTAGTCAACCCGGGTCTGGCTTGACGTCACTCATTAAAAAATCCTGTGTGGCCGCTTTCTATTCATGATTAGGTGCAATGTAATGGCGCGTGGCTCGCATGGTGGTAAAATAAATTGCGTGACAACAAATGTTGTAAAACTTTGCTTGACAAACATGACGCTGATAAGTGAAATTAGTTCGGGTTTCGACAGCGCAGTCGCATTTGCCATCAACAATAAGCAGTGAGCTTGTCAATACACCTCGAAAAATAACCCTCATTGCCCCGGATTTTCCTGCTACTAAATTATTTTTCTCTTCAATAAATACATGCAATGAAGTAAATGAACATTGTGTTGATGTATTGCATAGACTGGACTATCAGATCTGCACACAATGACCGAAACAGATTGTTTCTGTGCGGTTTGCTGCTGTTGGCGACCGGCAAGCCCATTTTGTCATGCTGATGCGATTCTAGACGGTAGTCCGATATGTATCATGCTCTCTAATTCGCAAACGTCAATATTTAACTCAACGCATTTGTTGCCACCGTTCTAAGCACATGCTCAGTAAATTCTTGCAGATCTTACTTGTTAGGATTCGACACTTTATGATAAGGCTGATAACGACGTAACCTTTTATTTGCCTTTCAGGAATGGGTGCGTTGTCACCTGTCCAGGTGTTGGACATTGTTCTGGACCAATGTTCAGCATGCATCTTTTTGAGCAAGTGGCATATCATGTCCTAGAGATTGCGAGGGGTCACACGATGGAGTTTAATCACACCGCCACCCTCGATTGAAAAAGAAGAGAGACGGTCCTTGATGTTCGGGTTGTCCACAAGTAGTGCTCCTGCGAGCATGATTGCAAATACAATTTCAAAATAACAGAATTCAGCTATAGCGCATTAAATGGCTCTCTAGTTGTCAATACTTCAATGGACATAGACGACTATATTTCCACGCGTCCAGAGCACTGTGTGGAGTCACTAGAACAAAGTTGCATACGAGAAAAACACCTATGGCTCCCATCAGAACATTTAACAGCGAAATGTTACGGTCATTCAATCCATTCTACTTCAAACATGTCAAACTACGCAAGGTATCACAGATGATTGTCGATCAGTTGCTATCGGTAGTCGCCCATTTACTAGACTGTGACACACGACGTCAACAGATTAACCCCCCCCCTCGAGCAGAAGAGGAGGGTGAAATACACGTTTCTACCACGCTGCAGGTAATCTTCGATGGTATTCAAATGGGTCTTTCGAACACTTGCCAGTTTGCGGTGCAGTCTACGCTTTTGTTCCCAGAATCTCGTTCACTCGTGCCCGAGTGTTGGCCGTCTTTTAATCTCGACCACAGCCGATATACACGCTCTGAACGGCGAATTGGCGACCGCTATTCAGTCAATACACAGCAGCACTTCTCCAAAAAGGGCGGCGGCCAAAGTTTTAATGATTCTTAAATTGCACAATAGCTGCGACGAGGACTGAATGAATTTTAAAGGGATGTGCTTGACGAAACCCGGTGCGCATGCGGCTCGGGTGTGCAGTGTTTGCAGATTCTTCTTGAGTGAAGACGCTTTGCTGCTAGATCGGGGTGTCAAGTAAGTGGCGGCTAGCACCATGTCCACGTAATGGCAGAAGAGTCACATGTGTCTACAAAAGATACACTTATCAAAGAGGCCAATTTCTCGAGCTTAAGTAGTGTGTGTGCTTGAGTGATTATCTACTAATGAGGTCTCATTTATTAGATAGATGACTAAGTATATAGATACTCAAGTGACGAGGCAAATGACGGTTCAGAAATCTGATGTGAGGGCGGCTTTGCCGTTCCGTCTGTTGCATGAGATATGCAAGGAAGGTTCATGATAGTAGTCATCAGTGGCCCAAATTTGATTAACATAAGATGCATTTCCCTTGCATCCCGTATCCATGATTGCTTTCACCACTTGATTACTATAAATTGGTATTTTTCACATTCAATCATAAATTCAAAATGTTCATATTGACAAGATTTGCAGCTCAACGGGATAGGTTGTTTTCGAATGAGCCAGATAACCCAACCCATAGTAAAATTCATTGGTATCAGCGCACTAACCTAGTCGGCGGCAATTCTTGAATATCTGAATCATAGCTGTATTTGGAATTAAGTAATCACTAGAAAACTCTTAGAAATGTGCATGAGATGGTCGGCTAAAGAGTTTAGTCGGAGATGTAACCAGTTATACGCCTGCTGTTGTAAGTCATGAGTTAAGCCATTTTCCTTTATCATTTTTAACGCAACCAATTGAAAGCTTGCGTTAAATTATAATCTCTACACATACTACAAACACACAATTTTGCGCTAAATACAAGCTCAATTTGTCGTTTACTGTTAAGCTATTTGTCTGTCGCGTCTCTACCATTGTGCTTCATATCCTACAGCTCGTTGAGTTCAAACGCTTAAAATTACGCGCAACTTCATTTATATGGCGAAATAGCACCCAAGTAACAAATCTTTCTTCGATATGTTGTCCTTAGCAAGCTCATTCGTCTTTATAAGCTATTCTTTTTAGCGTCCATCGATTTCGTTTTATGGTCGCTAATTTACGTGATTTGTAATAATCTGCATCCAGCACATACAATTTAAAATTTACAAAGATTAACTCGATAGGAAAAATAAAACATTCGTACAAGGAAAATGATATTACATATTAAATAATGCGGAGAATGGAAGGGATTTCCTAACAAAAAGTAACGGCTACACTTAAGAAGCATGGTTGGATTCGAGTTCATTGTGCGGACAACTTAAAATGATATTTGATCCAGTGGAAGTATACTTAAACCTCATTAAACCTCAAACCTCAAGTATTTATATTATGCATATATCACTTGAGTTCTTCATCCATAAAGCCGAAATTAGAATGATAGGATACATAATATAATTTATGTGCGAATGCACGTAATTATTTTGACGTAGACTGGCTTCTCGACGGACTAAGGCGCCTAAACGTTTTTCAGCTTGCTATGAACGAAGCTCAAGATCAAAGAAGACTCCCTCGGACGCTGTAGAAGACGTTGCCAACCAAAGGGATATACGCCATTTTTTGAAGGTCGAGCCAGTAAACCTTATCTGTCAGTCAATACTGCGATGGAGTCTTGCGTCCCTTCATTAGTACATAGAACCGGAAACTGCTGACAATCATTTCTTACCACGCCGAAATAGTTCACGCTGTCAATTCATGTACAGATGGTATTTTTAGATGCACACCCACGAAAATAAAAAAAAGCTGTTTGGAACAATATAATATTGCTTTTAACTGCACACCCTTCATCGAAAAGTTATCGGTTTTCAACGCTATCGTATGAAGCAATAGTCTTGTCGTCAAGTACACATGATAATGGACGCTACGAAAGCTTATAGGTGAGCGTAGGACTGCTAAAAATTTGCTCATGAGGCTTTTTTAAACTCGAGTTCAGCCGCGAACGATATGGCTGGCGATTGTTGATCGTCCGAAGTCGACATATTGACTTTTCTGGACATTGTTGATCGTCCGAAGTCGGCATATTGACTTTTCTGGACAGAACACGATAGTATTATGCGCTACTATCGTGTTCTTACTGCTTCTAACAATGTGATAAAGCAAATAAGACGGGAATTTAGAGCAAATCGGCAGATAAAGCAGCAACGGTAAGATTGAATCGCATGCTATGCGCCATGCTACAGCGATAGGATTTGCATAATTGAATCCTGTGGAATTTTGTGTATGAAAAATAGATATCGCAGTATTCAGGCCAGCAAGAGCACTAGATTGTCATCTGTAAGCACTAAGCCTTGGCTCTTAAATTACGATAAATGGTCCCATGACATTGTGGACAAGTTGTTCAACTATTATTGGAATCCAAATGATGGTGAAGGTAGCACGAAATATCTGCATTTACTCACACCGCCAGCTCGCCCAGTTTATTATTAATCTCTCTTGGCCATTTGCACGAGGCCATTAAAGCACTACGACTGCTTAAAAGGATAAGTGTCATGTTGTAACTGTAACAATAATGTCCTCAATTTGCATGCTGAATACACTCCTGCACGACGAACGATTCATCGATCTCGAGAAAGTGATGCATACCTACTGTAACGGGGTCACACTAGCCATTAACTAAATTGATCAAAGACCCCCCGCCCCTAAATGATATGGATGAATGTGTGTGACGTTAGAATTTTTATCAGCAAGAGAATATCGATTGGTCAATATTCCCAGGTTTGCGGTACTTACCGTGTACGTACTTTGTACTGTCATCATTTGATGACTGAGTGATGTGGCAACCATCCATTTAGTCCGAATACTAACATTTGTATTAGTTCCAACTTAGCCTAATATAGGATACCTAAAGTAGGGTTTTGTCTGATATAAAATCTAAATAAAGTTCAATTCTCATTTTGAGCAGAAGTCCCAAGACCCCCCCTTTTCGCACATTGTGCTCTGCAGTTCCTTGTAACTTCCGTAGCTTAGAGAGTACTTAGACTCATACTCCACTGCACATTGTGCTTGTGGTTCTCTAGAACTACACAGTAGTTGAGCTGTTAGCTCGTAGAGTCCACCCGAGTTCCGTAGAACTGGGTGACTCTTAAACTTGATAAGTAAGTTCCGTAGAACTAATAGGCTATCAGCCATAAGCCGTTGGCTTTTTAAATAAGTCTTCTCTGACTTAAAGGGTTGTGTAACTCCGATACACCTACGAGAAAATTGTCACCAAATTCTTGGTGGGACGATGCCTCTGTCTCCCTTGCCAAAGATAAGGATAATTGCAATATATTGTGGTTCATTAAAGCGGACAATGAAGTCCTACAGTTACTCAACAGATAGATTCATAGCGACCTTTAACGGATTTTGTTTCAAGGTCTGCTAACAGCAACTACATCATTTTGGGACAAATGGATGCTGATGTAGGTGTAACCATAACTTGATGGTATCATCACGACCAAGGCACGATCGAAAAGAGAGGCTATGGAAGTATTTATTAAGTAATAGCGTTGCACTCGCTTCGGCTGGCACTCACATCAAGTGTCTTGCATGTGATTTATTTGCAATTATGTATCATCATACGATCCCGCTGGTTGTCCATGCAATTTAACTGTTTTTGCGTGTGCCGATAATTGGCTCATACAATTTAAGTGGTGATTAATGCATCAGCGACAAGCAATAACTAGAACACGTGTGCAACATTTCTACAGGAATTATCTCGACGTTCCAATAGGAATTGAAGTGGAATCTGATTGTGTGATGCGAAGCTATAGTTGCTGATGTTGATGCAGATCCTTTGGATGTCGTCGATAATCTGATCGTGTTATCTTTAATCGGTAAATAACATAGGCAAACTTGCATGTAAGTAGGAATACACTGCACTCAATATGGTGGGTGCAATGTGTCGTATTCATATTCTGCTACTAAGTGGGTACTGACTCATAATGAGCCGATAGGATGCAGTTGTAAGTTAAGTCGTCCCTGTGGTCGTGAGATCACGCGTACTTAAGTTGATTTGTAAACGAAACTTTCAGAATTTTAGATTTAGAGTCAACATTAACGTGATTTAGCACATGTTGATACGCCTGCTCCCCTTTGCGCTCCCTCGTAATACATTAAGTGATGGTGTTTACGTAAAGGAGCTCTCGTCTTGTTCCTGCATTGAAAATTGGCGTACTATTTTTTTTGGTCCCTTTGGGGCGATTTTTCACCCTTGCCATTGACAAATTTGCCAAATCAAATGTCTGCGACCCTATCTTTGCAAGCTAGTGGTGCATGGCCGGCTGTTTATGGAGATATACAGAAATACGTTCATAGCGTAGTTTGAATGACATCTTCCATAGCCACGCTGTT